TTGGATTTTCACTGTTTTCAATTAAGATTAAGACTTTCTCATAGAAACTGATAATGGCTGGTGAAGTAGAAAATTTATTTCGAAATCCATGTTAATGATTTGTGATAATTTGGTTGATATCTAAAAATAATAAAAGTTGTTTTAGCATTGCATATTCAATAATCTTAGATGTCATAGATGGAACAGAAAATGGTCGAAAATTTGAGATTAATTCAGGATCACCTTGTTTTAATACCGGTAAAATGATAGAAGTTTTCAGCATACTAAGAAAAACATCATTATTGAAAGGAGCATTTATAATGTAAGCAAGTGGTGTCAAAATCTGGGACGCAATTTTGTTCATTACTATACCTGATATATCATTAAAACCACACGATGCTTTGTTTTTAATTTTATATTTTATTATGTCTAAGATATCTTTCTCTGGTACATAAGATAGGACTTGGTTTAATTATTTCACTAATTATATCTATGTACTGCTGCTATAAAGTTATCATTAAAATTGTTTGATGATATTTTTGTGATTTTTTTGTTTTCCATTAAGTTCATCTATTTAGCCCGTTTAGTATTGTTTTTGTTAAAAAATTCGGAGATTTTGTTAAAATAAAACTGACCCTTTGTGGCATTAGCAAGAACTTTGTGCTGATAGGTTTTTTGTCCATATAGACATATTAGTAGAGAAAGAGCGGGAATAAAAACAGTTAACGGAGGATTGGGGATCGGAATAAGAAATGATAAAGGCAATAGTGTTATTATCTTTGCAGTGGCATGAGATTTGGCATTTATTAATGCGTTCTTTATCGAAATATATATAATAGCGCAACATCTGCAGTAAAAATGTACTATGATGACAAAAACACATTTTACTTGGATAAAGCTAGGCAAGGAGACCCCGTCTCTCATAAACTATTCAATTAAACTATTCAAAACTGGTATTACGGAGGAAGTTAAAAGAATTACAACGCTGAAATGAAACTGAGCAGGAGATGCTGCCAGAGTCAGGGATGGTAGACGGACCAAAAACATTGTAAAATGGAGACCTAGACACGATGCTTATCGTAATCGAGAATGTTCTTCAACAAGACGGCACCAAGCGCATTCAGTACAACTGGATTCAGGGTGCTCAAGATCGGATGCAATGAAATTATTTACGAGAGGTCTTTGTCTAGCAGTGGACTTAAAACGACTGATGACAATGAATACGTTCGTTATGAAGACGCAAGACCAGTATGTTACCTATAGTAGCGAGGAAGGGGAAATACAAGTGTAGAAGAAGTCAGCTAAAAGAGGTTATCAACTGTCAAGTGATAAAGGGTAAGTGTATAGCTAATTAACACCGACCAGTTTTAGTCAATACGGAGAAAAAAGTGAGGTGGAAAGAAAAGCAAGTAGGATACCAGAAAATAAAGTAGTAGAATTTAAAGGATATGGATTTGGTAAGAGTCTTTAAGAGAAGAGTGCTGAACAAGCTTGGGAAAAAGATATGGTAAATGACGGGTGGAAAGTTAACATTTAAGTTGTGGTGTAAGAGAGAGGAAGTGCTAGGAAAAACATCTGGCAAAAGGCTTTCTAGAGACAAAGAAACTTGGTGATGAAACTATGAAGTTCAACAGAAGGTTAGAGATAAGAAAGAGGCTAGAATGAGGTAAGACAGGTCTAAAAGAGAGGAAATAAGTATTTATACAAGGTAGCAAAGAGGGATGCAAAACGCGCTGTAGCTACAGTGCCTACAAGCAGATGTCGTATGTATAGCTGTATGAAGAGAAGAGTAAAAGTACTTTAGAAAAATGCTAAATACAGAAAACCAAAGGAGAAATAGAGGATGTGGGATCTTAAATAAGAATGTAATAACGGAGAAAGCAGGAGATGAAGTTGTCGAGTCGTTAAATATGATGAAGAATGGTAAGGAGGTAGGACCTAATGGTCCTACCTATGGAGCTTTGACAGGATCTAGAAGAGGAAAAGATTGATATATTTTGTGGCAAATGACGAATAGGATATAAGAGGAAGAAAAACCAAATATATGGCTCAGGAGCACAATTCGTCAAATCTTCCGTGTTTCAAATCGGTATCAATAGGGTGTTACGACGTCATTTCATTTCAGTATCTCTGCCTTGTCAGATATCTGATAGTGAGGAAAAATGAAGTTAAATACGTCTTTCCTAACTCTAGTCTCTGGTAGTTATTTTCCTGTAATTGTCAGAGTAGCCGGAGCGTTTTGATTTGGTTTGATTTGGCTTAAGTGAAAAAATTCTTTTTCAAAAGATTGTGCCCTTTATGAGCAACCGTAATATTATGTTTAGACAAAAGATTTGCAATTTGTTCTGATAATCCTTTTATATAGGGGAGAGACATATAGCTTTTCTTTACCGTGTTGTTTTCCTTGTAATTATTATTAATATTATTAATAATAACATAATTTCATTGTTAATAATAACAATGAAAACAACACGGTAAAGAAAACTATATGTCCCTCCCCTATATAAAAGGATTATTAGAACAAATTGCAAATCTTTTGTCTAAACATAATATTACGGTTGCTCATAAAGGCCACAATCTTCTGAAAAAGAATTTTACAAGATTAAAAACAAAAACCCTTCTACTAAAAATAACCGCATTTGTGATGGAGTTTATATTGGACAAACCAGTCAGCTACTTAACTCAAGAATACGTTCCCACAAATATGACAAAAAAAACTCAACCCCCTCACAAAACATGAAAACGAAAAAAAAACATAAATTTGATTTTGAAAAAACCAAGATCCTAAAAAGTGAACCCAACAGGAAGAAGAGAGAGCTTCTAGAGTCTATACAAATAAAAAAATAATAATAATGCAATAAACGATAAAAAAGATGTCAAAAATTTGAACCAAATATATTTTAACTTAATTTAAAAGCACATAAAAAGACAATCTCAGAACGAGTATGATGTTAAAATAACTGATTGTTTAAACGATAAACTAACATCAATAAACAACACATTAGATTTCAAATACATTTTACATGTAGTGACTTAGTGGGTATGTCCTATAATTTTAATATTATTGTAATTGTGACGTCTACTTGTTAGTTACGAATTTTTACATGCTTGGTATGTCAAAAGTATAACTTTTAAACCGTATTATGTCTGTCATCAAATGTTTTTTTTTATTCAATATTATTTCTTGAAAAAGGCATGGATTACCTGCCGAAACGTCGAAAAAATATATGAAAATGTTTTCGTATCAAATCAATTTTTTTATGAACCTAAGCCCAAGAAAATCAACTAATATATATATATATATATATATATATATATATATATATATATATATATATATATATATATATATATATATATATATTGTAGTGAGAACAGAAATACAATAAATTAACATAGAAATATATACAACCAGATATACAATGTTAATTAATAAATTTATTTAAATAGTAATTAAAGACATAATTTATAAGTTATATATTAGATAATATTATTAAAAAATAATTATATGAAGTATTTTTAAGAATTTAGCATAAGAATTAAGTTTAAGAAGTTTGTTTTTATTTTATTTAATATTAGATATGTTTAAGTCAGCCATGTGCATATGCAACCAAACATACACTGTAGTGTCAAAGTCAAAAATTTATTTATTTTTAGAATTTTAATTTAAAATAAAATTACATATGTAAAATAGTAAAAAATATATTTCATATAAATGTTTAAGTTACATATAATAGTGTAATTCTGATCTGGAGAGCCTAAAGTCAAGTAAATTGTACATAGAAAATTCTAGAAATGTCAATGAGACTATTTGCATAATACATCATAGACAAAAACCATTCCATTTATTCCAGAATGTTCAGATAGAAAAAATAGAATGATTCGAACCTTATTTATTGCTAGATTATTCTGGAACCATAAAATATATAAATACCATGTAATTTGGAGATCAGTCAGTTAGTTAGTCAGTTAGTTACAGATTATGATTAGTTACAGTTGATTAATCAGTTAGTAAAGTGAGTCAGTAAAGTTATAATTCAAGAATTTACTTACAAGAAAGATTAATAATGGAGTTAAGTGAGTTAGAAGAAATTAAATCAGTTTCAAGATTATTATTGAGGAGTTAGTTATAAGAATTCAATGATTATTAAGTCAGTTACATGTGATTATTAATTACAAAGAAGAATTAACAATAATTTATGAGGTTATGAAAAGATTATTAGCTAGAAGAAGGCATTGATTAAGTTAAATGAATTATTAAGTCTAATACAGTTGAGATTAATTATTACTACAGTAATATAGTGATAGTATGAAGTTAATTCATTGAAGTAAGCATTCAATAATACAACCACAAGATCCAGTATATTTGAAAATACATTATATGGAAATTACAAGGATATAAATTTATATATTTATATGGTGAGTGGAGATAATTAAGAAGAAACATATTAAAATTTTTGGATAACCAAGGCTGAGGAAGAAAATATCAAGTGGTGATAATAACTTTAATTTTGGAAAAACTTAGGCGTTCAGTGAAAGAAGGTTCCAAATTTTGTTAATAATTTAATAATTGTAAGAATTTCAATTTTAAATAGATTGTTTTAAATTGATATTTCTTATATTAGATAGATAGGTTTGTTTCATAATAGTTATAATAAAGATAATTTAAAAAAGTACTTACAAACTAATTCTTTGAGAACCGCGATAAAAACCCTATACTTACATATATCATTCAAATTTACTCATAGCTCATACAAAAACAACACATCATAACAATATATACATATATATATATATATAAATATATATATATATATATATATATATATATATATATATATATAAATAAATATATATATAAATATAAATATATAAATATATATATATAAATATATACATTAGGGAAAAAATAATATATATATATATATATATATATATATATATATATATATATATATATATATATATATATATTATTTTTTCCCTAATACTATGGACCACTCTGTTTTAAAACAATGAAAAACAAGCTACTACCGTTTATTTTATTGTTATACAAAAACATCGTAAAACTAATTTCAATGGAAGGTTTGAAATATTAAATTACATCCGGACTTAATAATAATTCTTAACTGCAGTTAGAAAACGTTACAGGTACAAGCAGTTTAAAGTTCCGTTTTCTGCGTTGTAAAGTTTTTGATATTGGATTTACCAATCACAGATAGGATATTTTGTATAACACTGATGTCCATTGCAGTCATTAGATTCATGACCGTTGGAGTGACCATCTAAAAAATAATAAAAATAAAAATTAGTACTATATTCATGATGAATCGTTTTAATTAGTCAAAGTTTCGCAATAAAAAAAGATAAAGTTATGTTTTATATTTTTGAATATTTTGGTACAAAGAGTTGCATAAAACTCACTAGCATTAAATATTAATTTTTTTTTATCGAAATTGAAACTTACTTTTAATTAACTAATTATTTTTATTTTTTTAAAACTCTCTATACTCTCTATACCAGGGAAGGCCAACCCGTCGATCGTGATCGACCAGTCGATCGCGGCCCCTAGGTCAGTCGATCGCTGGCAAAGAAAAAATTATCAGTTTAATATAGTCGCGTCATAAATATTATGAAAATTATTGGATTGCTAGAAATCTTGCATCGATCATTGCGAACGACTCACATTTTTTTTCCATTTCTAATATAGTTGGAAAAATAAACAAATAAGAATTGATAGTTTTGTTTTATTTATACATTGGCGAGGAATAAAGCGAATTAATCCAGAATTTTAGCTCTCAGAGCCGAATCGATTTAAGATTAAACATTCTTTCAGATCTCGAAAACTGATAAAGTAGTCTTTCAGAATCAGATAGAATAGAATAAACAATACATTTTTTGACCACACAGACCAACACAAGGATCTATGATAGATTATGTTATAACCAACAGAGATATCCATCTAAAATAATCGACGTAAGATGCCTCAACTCAGCAGATGTAGGTAGCGTACGTAGCTTAGTATTATGGGTAATAAGAATCATCCTAAAATACTTAGAGAGAAATACCAAAAGAGAGGCGCCAATCTAAACAAAAATCAAAGTCGAAGAACTAAATACGAAATCCACGGAATACTTTTACAGAAAAACAATATCAGAGAAGATTGCTGATAATGAAATATAAGAAAACAATAACATCGAGGAAAGCTGGAAAAAACTCAAAAATAACATAATTATGTCGGGAAGATCATGCACCGACGAAATTCATATTTATAATGAGGCAAGTGCAAGAGAATTCAATCGAATACAACAAACCGGCATATCTATGTTTCGTGGAACTTAAGAAGGCATTTGACGGGGTTAAATTAAAGGACGTTATCCACTTATTATACGCAAGAGAGATACCTCTAGGAATAATCAAAACGATCCAAAAAATCTACCTAAACAACACAACGTAAAAGTGAAAGAAGAACTAACCGACCATACCCTGCGAACTCAATGTAAAAAAATTGTTCCATATATATAGTAAGATTCCAAATAACGAGATGGCGCCTGGCACTTATTTCAACTGGATCGCTAGTATATGTGGTAGAAGGCTAAGTAAAAAAGAAAGAAGAATATTGAGTTTTAAGTTTGACAGTGGTATTTATATTTATAGGTTGGTTGGGTTCATTGGGTTGTATTTTCCACGTGTTTGGTGTTTGGATTTGGATGTTTGTGCCATTTTGTTGTATACAATAGAAATTTTTTACGTTTTTATTTTGTACTTACGTATAGTAAATGTTTCCTATTTTAGTTTTTAATAGACATTTTTAGTGTATAGATTATTTAATTTTTAAATAGACAGTTTTAGTGTATAATTTATTTTTGTTCCCTCAACTCTACTTGTTTCAAGGTAATGTGAATAATTTTAAAGGTAGAAAGACAAATAATATGGTATAACTTTTTTATTCTAGCATATTTCTATTCTAGTGTAATACTCCAATATGATGAAGAATTTGTGTTGTCAAAACAATTTAATATACTCGAGGTTTATGTTAGATTTATTGTAATAAAATAATGATTATTACTGTTATTTGTTGGTTTTATTATTGTTCTTACTTTGTCCATATATACTTCTCATTTTTTTAATATCATTGCTACTCATGCTAAATTTGATATGTGCATTTTATTAATTTTTTGTTTTTGCAATAGATACAAATATTTTTATTGCAAAAACTAAAAATTAAAAGATTGCACATATGGAATTTGGTATGCCAAGCAAAGATCTTCCAATTATTAGTTAGCCTTCAAGATCCCAGAGGGCGCTAAATAGATTTGAATTTCGCGCCAATCGTCATTGTCGTCATAACGTTACAGGGCTCTTTCAATTTATGGAGATTAGTTAGATTCCAAAAATGTAGATGGCGATAGAATTCGTCACAAATTTAGTCTATAGAGAGTGCATTCTACCTAACCTTCTTATCTATGTAACCGACCCTATTGAAGCTGGCAATGAGATAAGACAGGAAGAGTCCTCTATTATTCAACCTGATTATGCATGAAATAATAAAAAAGTAAAAACTAAAAAAGGATACCAAATGGGAGAAAATAACTTAAAATAATCTACTATGCAGACAACTCACAATACTACTTACTCTCTCAAAGTGAAGACGGTTTACAGCGTATGCTGATCTAATTTAATATAACCGCCAGAAAATTTAACGTGTTGATTTCCCCAATAAAGACAAAATGCATGGTTACAGCAGCGAATTTACGAAGATGTAAATTGGTGTTGGAAGGTTAGATAATAGAACAAGTGATAGTGTTTAAATATTTAAGCATTACACTATCTAGCTACGAAGAGTTTAAAACTGAAAAAGAAGATCAAGTGAATAGAGCAAACAAAGACGCAGGCTGCCTGAATGACGCAATATGGAAAAATAACAATATCAAAAAGAAACAAAAGGTAGAATTTACAAAACAGTCATCAGACCAATAATGACATATGCGGCAGATACACGACCTAATACAGAAGACAAAAAGGATGTTAGAAACAGCAGAGATGAACACTTGAAAAAATTGAGGGCAAGTTACTATGGGACAGAGCTAGAAGTACAGACCTACGACCTAGATGCAGGATGGAGAACATCAAGAATTGGGTAAAAAATAGAAGGGTAGAATGAAACGATCATATAGGTCGAATGACAGACAACAAATAGAGTAGTAAAGACGACAAGAGACGGTTCCTCAATAGAAAGACGATCAGTCGGAAAACTACGAAAACGATGGAGCGACAATTTACTGGAGACACATTGAAAGCGGACAGAGTTATGCCTACGTAAAAAGAAGATGAAGAAGAAAGATCTGAGATATAGTGAGCGACTCTGAGATACTCAGCTCACTATTAACGTTGAAATTCTGGATTAAAAGTTTTATTACTCGCCAGTATCTCTAAAAAATAGATCTCGAGTCCGATTAAGTTGGCCACCCGTACTCTATACAGACACTGGTCATTGCCGCGTTGTAGGTTCGTAGAGTAACATATATTTTCTATACAATTTGTTTCACAGCGTAAGTTAGAATATATTGTAAATATTGTGTATATCTAACTGTTAGTCAATTTTGTAATTTTGTAAGATATGTTGCACATGTAGGTAAATAAAATAAAATAATATAATTAATGAAATATCGAAATTCTCATACATTATATTTACAAGAAAGCTATAATGAAAATAAAAATGGATGCGAAAACCAAAGCTATACCAATCAACAGAGGAGTTCGCCAGGGAGATGTTATCTCACCAAAGCTATTTACACTTGGACTGGAAGACGTGTTCAAATACATTAACTGGGCAGAAAAGGAATAAATGTTAATGGAAAAAAAAAACTGAGTCATTTAAGATACGCTGAGTATACTGTAATATTCGCTACGAGTTTCGAAGAACTACAGACCAAGATTACGCAAATACTTCAAGCTTCGGAAAAAGTAGGTCGTAAGATGAACTTGGAAAAAACAAAAATAATGACAAATAGATATTAGTGACAAAAATAATGACAAAAATAAATGTGTGGTTATTATACATGTAATTAAAAAAAAGTATGTAAAACACTTATGTAAAAACTAGTATTTGCCAAGAAACTAATAAGATCACAAAGATCACCATTCCAACAGTAGAATATTAATTAAGTCTAATTTTAGCTGTAGGTAACATTATTGAAATGATTGCTAAAGTTTGCTGTAGTAATCTTGTAAAAAATTGAATGAAAGTTGCCTCAAAAAGCTTCTACACTTCTCGAAGGCACTCGGCAAATGGGCAGTATTATAAAACCGACGAACCATCCCGTAAAAAAACAGTGTCCTTGAAGTCCAAACATGACATTAATAAGGCGAATTACAAACCGATAATGCATTGGAGAGGTAAATTTTAAGATATAATATAGTACGGAGAAATCCTTGTCTGTCCGAACCATTATAAAGAAAGCAACAGATGATTCGAAACACCATTTTACTTTCAGGGAATAGCTCGAAGAGAGACAAACAAGTGAGGTCAATCTTTCCATATCGTAATATAAGTGACTACGTAACCAGCTACAACGTATGGGCATAGCTCGCAACAAAGGAAAATAAAAATATAATAAAATATGTGCATAAGATGGAAGGCAACCGTATATACGTATTTCTGACTAATGGTCGTCTTTAGTACGGTACAGCTAAGTTAGAAAAGAAGCATATTAACTTGGGAAAGGAGCAACGCGACCAATTTGTGGCAAAAATGTTGGCAACAGCATTAATAAACAACTAATAATAGCTCGCAACAAAGAAGAAAATATAATAAAATATGTGTATAAGATGAAAGGCAACCGTTTATACGTATTTATGACTATTGGTTGTCTTCTCAAGGACAAATTGGAAAAGCAAATCACTAATGCTGAATAACAACAAGGTTTTACAAAAGGGCGGTCTATAACAGACGCAGTATTTATAATAAAACAAAATAAAAGAAAAAGCTATAGAGTTCGGCATGCCAGCGTATATTTGCTTCATTGATTTGACGAAGGCATTTGACAGAGTTCGCCTAGGAGGCATTCGAAATATATTAATAGAAAATGAAGCACCGACCAGCATAACAAAGATACTCCATAAACTAAATAACAACAACGTAACCAAAGTTAGAGCAGGAGACGAATTCACTGAAAATATTCCAACACCGGGAGGAATTAGACAAGGCGACAGTTTAAGCCCCTTCTTGTTTAATCTTCTCATGGGCAAAATTATCAACAAAGTAACATCTCTTAATCTCGGATATAGAATGGGCAACAAAAGAATTGGTATGGTGTGTTACGCAGACGATGCAGCAATTATTGCCGAATCAGAACATGATCTCCAACGGCAGCTCTTTCAGTTCTTTTAAACAAGCCGACTACTAAATATGAACATATCTACCAACAAAACTAAATGTATGACAATAGCAAAAGATCCGCTCAGATGTAAGTTAGTGGTTGAGGACAACCCCATAGAACAGGTGATGCAATTCAGATATCTGGGCATAGATATATCAAGCACCCACGACCCAGTAAAGGACCTGAGGAGTCAGATCAACAAAGCATCTGCACTGTCAGGATGTCTGCGGAGATATGTCTGGTCAAATCCGTATATACGCACAGATAGTAAAATTAGAATCTATATTGCATACGACCGATCATGACATATGGCATAGAAGTGCGCGAAGATACTAACAAAACGAAACAGATGCTAAGGGTTGCCGAAATGAAAACCCTTAGAACAATAATGGGGTAAATAAGAAGAGACAGAGCGAGAAATACAAACATTAGAGAGCAGTGCAAAATTCAAGATATTGTAAGATAGGGAAGGCAGCGCAAGAGGATGTGGTACAACCATGTAAGACGAATGGATGAGAATAGACTCCCAAAAATTGCCCTAGAAAACAATCCGCCCGGTTCAAGACCCCCGAAAGACCACCTAAAAGATGGAGGGATAGTTGGCAATCTACCTCCCAAGAAATTAACCAGAGGCAGCTTCAGAATTAAACAGATCGAAAGATCTACAAAAAGTAGAAGAAGAAGAAGAAGGTTGTCTTCAGTATGGTGCAGCCAAGTTAGAAAAGTAGTAGTAGTGATCGTTTCCCAAGTTACTATGCTCCTTTTCTAACTTGGCTACACCGTACTGAAGACCACTAATAGTCAGAAATACGTATATACGGTTGCCTTCCATCTTATACACATATTTTATTATATTTTTATTTCTTTGTTGCGAGCTATGTCGATATCTTTTACCATTATTTTACTATCAACTCGCATTAACCTTTTTCTTGTTGTTTCCTCCGTGGATGTGGTAGTTGTTGCTCTGGAAACCTCAGAGTCTTCTAACATTATTGCTACAAATTGGTCGCATTGCTCCTGTAGTAATCCTTTTCCAAGTTAATATGCACCTTTTCTAACTTGGCTGAAGACGACCAATAGTTAGAAATACGTATATACGGTTACCTTCCATCTTATATACATACTTTATTATATATATATATATATATATTAATATATATATATATATTATATATATATATATATATATATATATATATATATATATATATATTTGTCATACTTTTTCTTTTCCAACCAAAGAAAAATAAATAAAAAAATCCATCGAAATAAAATTTCAAGATATTGTATATAGTAATTTAAGATAAGATTTAGTGTAGATAAGAATAGAAATTTGTTTGGCAAACGACCTTTTCCGTTTCAAACAAAATTATCAAAAAACCTTTGTTTAGAATTAGAAGACATTTTACCTGTAAGTTAATCTTTTCATTGTTTGTATAGTCGAGTATTAAATGACCATATTTTAATCTTTTGAAATATGTATAAATGATGTATTGAAAAAAAAACCAATTTTAAAGTAAGCTATTTAGTTTTCTCTGAAACCGAAATTAGGCTTTTCCAAAATCATGGTAAATACAATTTAAGCTTTTTGATTGGACGGTCGTTTTTAAATGAGAATTTGGTGAGTCGATCATGAGAGAGGAGAAGTTAGTCATATTTTCGTCATCGAAAGGAAACAGTCGTTTGTCTTAAGATAGGGTGTGGTTCGTGAGTTTGGATACTGGCGTAACGAAAAGAAGTGAATAGTTTGAAGAAGGAGATAACAAGTGGATTAAAAGAGGTCCTTGTATCTACCGTGGTCATTTTATAAAGTATATGTGAAAGTTTTCTTACGGCATCAAGTTGACAAAAGGAGGTCCTGGTGTCATAAATAAGTAGCGGAGTTTGGAGAAGTAAATCAGGTGTTTTTTTTGTATAGTCTGAAGGAGGTTTGCAGAGACGTAAAGAAGGAGCTGAGGTGTCAAAGAGGGGAGATCACATATTTGAGGAGACTGGACTTTTCTGGGTATGTTCCAACATACAACTTAAGAAGAAAATAAACTGTAAGTGTTTGTACAATTCAATTTTATATCTGTGAAGGATCGTTTCGACATCATGGTCATTATCATTAAAATTTAAGAACTGAGGTTTTTGTTAGGCTAATCAAAAGTTTAAAGTTTTGTGGTTTCTTTGTTTTTCAAGTAAAGAAAATTTTAAGTAAAATTGGTTTTTCACGTAATATAAATGTATGTAGCTTTATAATCTTATTATCATAATAATTTGATTTATTTTCTTGTATGCTGATGGATAAGATAACGACAGAATTTAATAATTGTTTTATTCGTTCATATAAAATAAAGAAACGTAAATCTTTGTAATATAATATATTTGTATTCTTATCCTTTTCTTCTCTATCCCAATAAAAGACAACTAGAAAATCTTTAAGAAAGCTACAGTATCTCGGACATGTGATGCGGGACGATAAGTATGGCATCCTGCGACTCATAATGCAAGGAAAAATAGATGGCAGAAGAAGCATCGGAAGAAACGAATTTCATGGCTGAAGAACCTGAGAGAATGGTTTGGATGCAGCTCAAAACAACTATTTAGAGCTACTGCCTCAAAAATTAAGATAGCTATGATGATTGCCAACCTCCGTAGCGGAGATGGCACCTGAAGAAGAAGAAGAAAATCTTTTGAATCCATCGAACACAGGTAATATAAGGATTATTTTACTTTTGATAACAAATAAGTTATAATTCATTCTTTTTTTATTGGCTCAATAAACTAAGTTTGAACTCAAAATAAACAATCATTACAATATATATATATATATATATATATATATATATATATATATATATATATAAATTATTTCGTTACTATTATAAGTAGATGTTTTATATTTACCTCAAATATTTTTCTAGTATCGATGATATTGCTAAACTCCTCTATAAATTTTAATATGAATGGTAAAACAAATATATGGAACATCCTAAAAACACATAAATAAATTATAGCAATTATCTTTAACAACTAAAATAAGCAGGTTCCTGTGGCAAGCTTTACGTAAACTTTTTACTGTATTTCGGACGGTAAAGTTCAGATGTAGGTACATAGCTTTAAAAAACACTAAAATTAGCCTTTTTGGCATTTTTAGTTGTTTAATTGCAATTTACGCTCAAAGTAAGCATTTTACGAAAACATCACAAGAAAACCAAATTACCAAAAAAGTGGTCTTGAAGAGAAAAAATATAAAAAATAAGTAGTTGTTTTTATTAATAAAGGTTTCCTTAAAAAATTTTTGGTAAAAAATAATATGTAAAATAAAATCATAAGCTTAATCTTATCTCAACCTCTAAAACTTATCTGACAATAATATACTATTCATTTATTCTCCAATAAATCTAATAAAAAAAAAATTAGTCAATATTTATCATGTAAAAAACTTACTCCCATACATCAGATATCGAAGGCAGTTTAAATTCTTCTGGTGTGATACCTGTGTGCTCTAATTGATCATCAACTCTATAAAAAAAGTAATATTGAATAAAAATGAGGTACTCTTTTTACTGATAATGTGCTATAGGTTATTCTACGAATATACGACTGTTTTGGATTATTAGGACAACGAATATTTTACTGTGCAAGTAGAAGTATGAAAGTAAATTGGTCTAAACAGTATTCCAAAAAATGGATTTACTGTTAGTTTGACACTTACACTAAAATTATTTCAGTTAATATATGTTCAGATAGACGCAAAATTTATTGTGAAATTTAATACGAAAATAACAAAAATTTTTACGCGAATGGTCCTACAAATAAATACAATGAGTTCTATGAAGCCAAAATGTGTTCATAAGACATTTGGGTTGGGTTTCCGTGAAATGTAAACACCAAAGAGGCGTGCCGGATTCCTTTGATATTACACTTTTATTACTTTATTAGGTACCTACTACAACTGTAATAAAAAGAAATATACTTTTAATATAAATGAAAAGAAATTGGCAGAACGATGGTTTGGAAACCAGAAAAAGGATCTATAATTTCACTTTGTTAGTTTTAAATATTTGTTTGATTTGAGTGGATGTACATCTAAAGTTCCGAAAGTAACGGGCATAACATACCGGCTATTGGTAGTTGAAGTACCGAATCGTTACAGATATTAAAAACTAACGAACATTTATATACAGTTTCATATATCGACGACTGATTTTAGTTTTAAAAACTGTCCGTTTAGAGGTGCCGGTGAAGAGAGGTGCCGTTAAGAGAGAGTTTAGTGTAGTGTATTTGTTTATTAAAGCCCAAAACCCCGAGACGTGTTTTAGATGTAGATAACTTTATATTTAATGTACTGTCCTATGGTGAAGTTCTGTGAATCTGATGGTTGATGATAGTTTTAGGAGATTAGGAAAATAAGGCAATAAGTAAGTTCTTTTTGTTTTCTTAATACTAATTGAATATTCGACTAAATAAATTATTACACTATTTAATCACCTAAGTATTGTTACACTTCGTTTAAATCACTTAATTCAAAAACCAACTTGTTTACAATACTAAAATCAATGATAGTAATTATATACTTCAAAATTTGAATTATAGCTATTCTATAAACTATCAACTCGATATTTATATCATGACTTGATATTTAAATTTTAAGTCATAACAGTATTTTAAAAATAGGGAGAATTTACTATTGGACAATTCAGCACATTGGACCATTCACATAGAGACCTTAAACCTAATTTAAAACAGTCGTATATTCGTGGAATGGAGTATATCAGTGTTGTTCTTTGGCATGAATGATGGATATTAATGGTAAACAGTTAATGAAAACGTTTTTAATATATGGGGGATCGCAGCATACTACAAATTTCATAGTTAAAAAAAATAACCAATGCCAAAGAATGAAGACAAACAAATAAGAAATAGGAGAAAGTGGTACAGACATGTAAGAAGAAGTAACTGTTTACGTATATGTATTATGAAAGAAAAAAATCAGTTACTTCTACATATAATGCAAGAAAGATCAATGCCACATAATTATTAAGAAGGACAAGAAGTTATCGATTAAAACAATAACATTGAAAATGTGGATAGAGTTTATTACTGCAAATCTTACATGATCACAAATATCTTTATTAAAAATTTTACTTACAAAAAACCATGCAGCTTAATTTTAAGATTCCAAATCTGTTTAGATTGGCTGATAAGACTTATCGGCCACTCATCCGTAGACACCCTTTATAAATATATCCGTTTAATTTGTTTAACAGGCTGGATGCCGCTATTTTGTGACTTACTTTTACGTGGTCCCAAATTAAAAAATAGAAAAAACGGTATACTGTTGCTAACAATTATGAATAATGATGTTTTATATGTAATTGCTATTTCAAATATTTAAGAAAAGGTAAAAAAAACTGACGCTCATAAGCGGCAGTGGCAATGAGTTTCGGCATTCATATCCGTGTACCGTTGACGCTTATAAGCGTTGCCTATACTCTACAGTAAAACATTATTTATTTCAAAACATGTAACAAAAACAAACCTAAATATTAATAAAAGTTTGGCTGCTATATTCTATTTGTGAATTATGATGCTGCAATTTAGACAATATTGTATCCGTCCGTTTTTTTCTTTGGAAAATCTTTTTCTGTCAAGTTGTTTTTTACGTGGAGTCGATTTTCTTTTTATTAGCCTATGTTCGATATTTGATGCGTTTTTTTATTTAAATTTTCATAAGGAGGTAAAAGTTCCGGTAGAAAAGGTTTTCTGGTAGAACTGTATTGAATTACTGATTTTTTAGAAACAGAAAATCTTTCATTTCACCTGATACATCTTCCCAACAGATGTCAGATATTCAGTTACAGTTTTTTCATCGCAGGTTGTTGTAAATCTACCTTTTCTTCCGCCGCAGGTTGTTGCGAATCAGATATTACTTCTCCCATTTCATTATCACTCTCCGAGTCCGTTCCAGTCCATCAAATTCCTTCTCCAATTCAAAATCACTAAGTTCATCACTATTTTCCAGCATTTCTAACAATTCTGCTTCAGTGTACTTATGATAACGACTCCCTTTAGGTCTGGAGGGACAAGCCTCAACGTACTCATTTTGCATGATAATACAATAAAAATATTTGAAAAACTTGAACCACGTGTATTTATGAGTAATAAATATCCTTCCTTGAGTGCCTACTAAGAAAAATACAAACACAACTGCGGTGCCGACTAAGAAACCTAATATAAATACGTACCGAACGTGACTCTTATAAGCGTCAAAAGCATCCAACGTGTTAAATTATATCAATATTTAAAGAAAAAAATAAGGAAAATGTGAAAATTACAGAAGAAATTAGTGTAATTTCATTAATGCGTATGTTACTGTAATTTTGTCAATCAATTGAATGGCAACATTGTCAAAAACAAACTGGATTACGATATCAGTGGTAAAATTAGCGAAGATCAAGCAGGGTTTACACCAAGACGGTCCAAAGAAATTGCTACAAACAGAGTAATCCACTGTAAATTTATAGTTTTACATATGATGACGTATGACATAAACATATAACGCATTTTGTAATGTCATAAAAACAATCACAGTGTCATTTAAGTAAGAAACGGAAAGGTGATATAAATATAGGCTACTAGTAAAAATATTTTTATTTTTATTTTATAATTTTTTATGTACAATATTCACACACATATTCGTCTCTTTCTGCACCAGAACAATCTATATGTGCCCACAAGTTGCACAGAAGGCATTGAATCCATTTTTCACCTCCATAATCCTCACAAAATTTTCCGTCACAGAAAATATAATTTACACCCGTATTTTCCAGATCTGTTACACCAGAAATCTCTTACAAATGCATATCTTCATCAGCTGGTTGAAATTCCTGCTCACTATTGTTGTCAGAAATCTTTCGATTTCCTTTTTATGCTGCCTCTCTGACTTGTTTTTAATTTTTTTCTTAGTCCCCTCCCTTGTGGACTCAGCCGTAATGTGTCGTTCTATAGCTTGTACATTTATTTTTTTGGCTGTTTTGCTGGTTTAATGCTTTCTTGTAAGGTGAAGAAGTTATTGCCGTTGATTTCGATAATTTTCTACTACGATTTGTAGATTTTTTCCTGATCGATGGCACTGGCGATATTTCAAATGGACTTACAAACTTCTGCAAACCAGAAGGACCTGGTTCACTGATGTTGCTTGTTTCTGGTGTTTTTGATAGGAAAGAAGGTTCAATAGCTTGCGGACTTACAAATTTCTGCAAACCAGAAAGACCCAATGTTGCCGGCTTCTGGTGTTTTTGGTACGATATTAGATTCAATAGCTTGCGGACTTACAAACTTCTGCAAACCAGAAGGACCTGGTTCACCGATGTTGCTGGCTTCTGGTGTTTTTGGTAGGATAACAGGTTCTACATGGCTGTGGTTGTTACTCTTAATTTCTTCTGAACACAGTCTTATTCAATGGATAAATTCCAGTGGCGCGGAATCCATTTACAGCAATTTCTCCAGTTTGGCCTTTAAGGTATGCTTTACCAAAAAGTTCTCCAATATGAGAGAGGGCGCGGTTATTATAACGTAACAATTGCCTGATTTCTTTACTATAGTATGATCTGAGCGTTCCCATGAAAGTTTTGTCTAGCGGTTACGGTTTGTGTGTTGAATGTGGAGGTAATGAAATTATATCTATGTTATTCTCTCTTGTCAGATTGATCACATCTAAATTACGAGAATCACTGTAGTGTCTATCTAATATAAGAAGTATGGGAAACTCTTTAGTTGGTTTAGCGGTATCTATAAAGTGTTTAAACCACTGTGTAAATAAATTAGACTGCACCCAACCACTAGAATAAACGAGGCATAAGCTTTGTTGAATTTTGCCAAGAGAACAACTTGGTGGTTCTTAGCACATGGTTTAAATTACCAAAAAGACGTCTGTATACGTGGAGGTCTCCTCAAGATTGCGAAGGAAATATTGTAAGGAACCAAATCGACTACATTAGAATTAATAAAAGGTTCCGTAATGGTATCCTAAATGTAAAAACGTTCAGAAGCTATGACATAAATTCAGACCACAATCCTGTAGTTGCAACTGTCAGAATAAAACTTAAAAGAGTAGGCAAAGGCTAAACCCAGTCAGAGAGTAGCATGGAGTAGTGCTGACCAGGGACAAAAACATATATTATGTATAAAGACATGGTAGACACGCAGTTAGAGTCTAAGACATTAGCTCCCACTAAAGAGAAGACAATATAAGAAAACATTGAAGACATGTGGGGAAAAATTAAAAATACTGTCCTGGAAGCAGCAAACCAAAATATACAGAAAGAAAACCGTAAACAAAGAAAACCATGGTTGACAAACGAAATATTACAAATTATGGAGAGGAAACGGATGGTAAAAAACAAAAACCTAACAAGATACAAAGAGCTTAACAGGGAAATTGAGAGAAAGATAAATGTAGCTAAGGAAGAGTGGATGAAAGAAAAATGTAAAGAGCTAGAAGATCTGCAAAGGAAGCATAAAGATAGAGAATTACACAGAGAGGTGAAAGAAGTCGCTGGGATATGGAAACCCAAACATTTATCTATTGTGTCATCTATCATTTATGTAACAAACACGATAAACCAAATGGAATTAGACCCTGAAAAACAGAAGGAAATATGGGAACAATATCTTAAAGATTTGTTTGGTGATCGGAGAGCAGAAGGGCCCCCACAAATAAATACCGATGGAAAACTAAGTATTCTAACCGAAGAAGTTATGCGGGCAATAAAAGACGCAAAGAACAACAAGGCACCCGGCGAAGATCTAACAACAGCCGAACATTTTAAACACCTGAGTGATGATGCTGTCGGGAAATTAACCTACCTCTTTAACATTATATATGAACATGGCACTCTACCGCATAACTGGCTAACATCCACATATGTAGCTCTTCCTAAAAAAACAAAAAGCAAGGAAATGTGAAAACCACCGAACTGTATCCCTAATGAGTCATGCTGCTAAGATTTTTATGCGAGTAATTTATAACCGCATTCACAATAAGTGTGAAGAATACTTGAGTCGTTCTCAATATGATTTTAGGAAAGGTACAGGCACCAGAGAAGCAATAATGGGATTGACACTAATGGCAGAAAGGTATCTCGAGGTTCAAAAACAGCTGTATGTGTGCTTTGTCGATTATATAAAGGCCTTTGACCGCAATAGACACGAAAAATTGATTAAGGTGCTAAAAGAAGTAGGGCTGGACGGACACGACATAGCTATATTAAGCAACACATACTGGAACCACACAGGATGTGTTCGAACAGACAACGGAAATACCAGTTATGTAAACATAGAACGAGGAGTGCGTCAAGGGTGCATTCTGTCCCCCCTTCTATTTAATGTCTATGCCGAAAATATCATCAGAGCTTCTTTTGAAGATCGCCCTGAAGGTGCCAGAATCATGGAATCATCATTAACAATGTAAGATATACCGATGACACCGTAGTATTAGCAGAAACAGAAGACCAACTAAAAATATTGATGAACATACTATCAGAAGAAAGTCATAGACTAGGTTTGGATATTAATCTTTCCAAAACCAAAATCATTGTATTCCACAAGAACCCCCATGAACAAATTACACCCAACATACAAATCAATGGTATCACCCTTCAGAGCTCCCAAAGCTTCATATACCTGGGTAGAGAGCTAAACAGTCAGCTAGACCATTCAAAAGAAATTAGAAGACGTATTGAAATAGCAAAATCTGGCTTCATGAACATGCGTAAAATGCACAATAAGATTAAGAACACTAAAGTGTTATGTGTGGTCTCTACTACTATATGGCTGTGAGACCTGGATATTAAAACAGTATGACGTCAACAAACTGAATTCATTCGAAATGTGGATGTACCGCCGAATGCTAAGAATAAGCTGGACCAGCAAAACTACAAATGAAGAGGTACTGGAAATAATGAACACACGACCTCATCTGGTTAATTTAATCCAAAATTAGAAAGACGTCATATCCAGGACACATAATGCGCCATAAGGAATTTGAGCAGCTCCAGGTAATATTAGAAGGCAAAATCGAGGGTAAAAGGGGTATAGGAAGAAAGAAGAAATCCTGGCTCCGAAACATCAGAGATTGGACTCACACAACAGGAAATGACCTAATCCATCAAGCCCAGAACAGAGAGAAATTTGCCATATTGATCGCCAACCTCAATAGAGAAGGCACTTAGGAGGAGGAGGAACCACTAGAATGAACGGTTGATATCGATCCAGGAGGAGTACCTTTAATAAGTTGCACATTCATATTCTTTCTTGGGAAGATAAATACGAGAAGGATAAAATTCCCTCCAGCACTTATACATGCAATTAAAGTAATTAATGATCCTCTCTCAGCCAAAGTCTTCTTTTTCTTCTTCTTTTCTTTATATACACATGACTTATTATTTAATATGCCTCCAGTAAGTTGTCATTCCATCGTTTTTGTGGTCTTCCTACTGATCGTCTTCCGGAACCGTCTCTTGAGGTCTTTACTTCTCTATTTATTGTCATTTCGCTTATATGATCGTTCTCCGCTTTAATGATCTCCACCTTGCATCTACGCCGTATATATGTATTTCTAGCTCTATCTCACAGTGTTTTGCCATCAATTTTAATAAATGTTTTCATCTCTGCTTTTTCTAACATCCTTTTTGTCCTCCTGGGTTAGATCGTGTTTCTGTCGCGTATGTCATTATTGGTCTGATGACTGTTTTGTAAATTCTGCTGATCGTTTTTTTCCCGATATTTTTATTTCTCCGTATTTTTTTATTTAGGCAGCCTGCGGCTCTTTTTGCTCTGTTCACTTGATCTTCCACTTTGTTTTCGTGCTTTCCGTAGCTAGATAATGTGATGCGTAGATATTTAAACTCCATCACTTGTTCTATTATCTGACCTTCCAGGTTTAATTAATACTTTGGTAAATTTGCTGTTGTAACCATACATTTTGTGTTTGTTGAGGAAATTAACATGTTAACTTTTTTGGCGGTTATATTAAATTGGTGCAGCATATGTTGTAAATCATCTTCACTTTGAGAGAGTAGTATTGCGTCGTGTGCATAGCAGATTATTTTAAGTTGTTTTTCTCCCATTTGGTATCCTTTTTAGTTCTTACTTTTTTTGTTATTTCATCCATAATCAGGTTGAACAATAGAGGACTGAGGGAATTTTCTTCTTCTATTTTTACTTTTATTGTGTTTTTTCGGTAGATATTTTCAATCGTTTTGATTATTCCTGCCGAATATTCAGCCGAAGTTGTAAACCGGATGACTGGAAAAATTGTATTTGTCATATGCTTTTTCCAGATGATCAAAAAAGATTTAAACATTCTCTTTATTAAATCTAGCTGTCCGTCCAAAAGACCTTCCAGTTGATCTCCTTAAAGCCAATCTATTTTTATGACGCGCCAATAACAAATCTAGTCAACCTCTACCAGCTTTTTTTTAGCGCATGAAGAAATAATTTAATCCATTTTGATTCGGCCAGATTAAATACCATTCGTTTGATATCAGTCCGCGTTAAACCATAGAATTTCGCGGCCACCGAATAATCCATCAAACATTTTTCTAAATCTGGGCCAAGAATAGTTCCTCTTCCCAGTTCTTTAAGTACTGCTTCATCTGGACTCAGTCATCTCGGGACATTATAAGTTTTAGATGCTGTTAATGTACCCATCGTTTAATCTCTTACATACTTGAATAGCAGATTTCATGCTATCTATATCCCAGGACTTTCGTTGTTTTGGACTTAAAATACTTTTGCCAGGCATTTTGAAAAAAAAAAACTATGTAGACGAAACTGATACAAATATGGGCTAGCTCATATTTGTAGCACTACACTAGCCCATATTGCAACAGAACCATATATTCAAATACAAATTTGAAACATATATTTAAATATTAATAACTAAAATGCAACACAAATTAAAAGAAAAAGTCGAGAATATTATGAAAATATTAGCCTTTCGCTTACGATGTGTGATAAAATATTAAATTTATTCTTAGTTTTCACCGAAAAAAACAATCGAAATAAAAACATACCAGAAAAATTTCTTGAACAGTGTCAACACTAATATGTGATTGTTTCAACGGTCATTGGAGCTAGGTCATTGTAAGCTTTATTTGTTATTATTTTAGACTAAAGAGTGTCTAGTCAAGCTATTCATGTATGGATGGTGGTGTGTATTTCATATTAATTGCGAGAGCCCATAGTAGTAGCATAGCCCATATTTGTACCTTCTCCTCTACTATTTTGTTTTCTACTCTCTGGTGTAAGCTCTCTTCTTCTGTCCTCTGTTAAACTACCCGAAACTGTATGTAGTAAAATAAAAGAGATATGGAAAACATATTGATAATTTTATAATGAGAAAAAAGAAAGGCAACAAAAATGTCACAACATTTTTATACTAGCATCCTTACAAAGGTAAGCCTGTAGATATATAACAACTTTATTTTATAATGTAGTTTTAAATTTTTAGTATGTTTTGATAAATAGTTAAAGTAAGCTTAAGCTTAAAAAACCTTAAAGAGCCCAATAGATTACTACAAACCCAAGAGATTTGTATGTAATGAGAATAACTGTCACACTGTCTCTATCGAGTTTGTCTTTCTCACATACTCTTCTAGTTTTGCATACACACTTTCAGTCCTTTTGTTAATACTTCTAAGAAATATGTTTGATACAAAAATTTCAACTTACTTGGCATCATCTTCACCCTTCGCGTTTACGTAATTTACGGAAGCAAAAATTACAATTCCCAAAATAATATTTTTTATCATCGGCATTTTGTTAATTTTAAGTTAAGTCAATGTTTCTTGTAGCAATACTATTACAATACATCATTATTGATAACATAAAGAAACATTAATATGAAAAACAATTAAATTGAGTTTATTGTTTTAAGTTTTATGCAGCCATCGTAAAAGAAGAATTTTAAAATTATAAAATCTATATTATTAATCAAATCAGCTATTGAACAATTATGGATAACAATAACACTGTTTTATAGTTTTTATAGTATCGGGCATTTTGAAACAGAAAACATCGTGAACATAATATTCCATTAAGGGAAAGTAAAGACAACAAATATACGACAAGAAGTACACAAGAGCAAAAAAGTTTAATAAGCATTCAAAATATTACAGGTCCTTCTTCGTTATGGCTCGAACTTATTTGTAAGGTCGTTCCTTCTTGACTTCACTAGAACCGGGTGAAAAGCACAAAAAAAAAATAAAAAATATTTTTCCTAGTATTCCTCCTACAGAAACTTTTGTTCTAGTAAAAAACCTTTCAGAATTTAATATTACAAATTCAATCATTACATCTGAAATTTTACATTTCTTAAAATTTGCATAAACCACTGCTACATTAAATTTAATAACAAAATATAGATAAATAACAATGCAGGACTTATAATGGTAATCATCTAATCTCATTGCTATCAGATATTTTTATGGATCATATAAAGACAGAGATTTCAAAATATCCCGTATTCAAAGAGTTTGTATATTGGTGGAGACCCGTAGGCGATGTAATGACACGACCATACAAAATTCATCACCTCATCCTACACAACCTAAAATGGCAGCCTACCATAGCATGTTACATAGATTATTAGAAATTCCGATGTCAAACTACAATTTTAAGATAGAATTAAATAGCATTAAGCAGATAGTAGAAACAGTAAAAAATGGGTACAAAAAACAAATAAATAATAAAATTTTAAATCAAAAACTACATAAGATAGCGCTGAAATTAGACTTTCCACCACCAAAAAAAGCCAGTATCTTCTGCTTTATTACATATACAGGCAAGATATTAACAAAAATAGCCAAACATATAAAAAAAGTAAGGAGTAACACCAAGCATACAACAACTTGGTAGGTCAAACTGGTAGAACTGTTAATAAACGTATAGCAGGGCATAAAAGGGCTTTTAATAATAAAAAAAACAGGTTCTACATACGCACTTCACCTTCTAGATCATAATCATTCTTTTAATGACGAAATTTAAATCTACACATTCAAAATAACGGCCTTAATAACCAATTTAAAAGAAACAGTTCTCTCCTCCTCAACCTATTCATTTAAAGACTAGTGTAAACGCATACCAAAAACAGATCACTTGAGAAAAGCACTCTGCTGAAACTGCTGTAGTAATAAGATATTATATTATATTTTGTGGCAGTTTTGAAAACCAGGTTTTCAGTGTTTTATTGTCAAATATTTAAATTTTAAAATAATTTTTTGGGTCATTTTTAAGTTATTATTTGTATTTCCTGTCAATACCAAAACAACTTTTAATTTTGGAAAACCTTAAACCAGTCTTAACATTGAATCCTTAAAAATTGTGTTTGTATGGAATTTAGCCACAACGAATTGTAATAAAAAACTACATTTTTAACTAAAAATTTGTTGTTGGAGAGCTTATGTCTTTTCAAAATTAAATGTTGACTTACTTGACCGTGGTATTGTACTCAACATCTACGCTTTAGCTGAAAATATTTAGGGGTGGACTTTTTGCCTATGTAACTGCAAAGTCCGATTATACTGTGTGTTTGTGCAATATCTGTAGGTGTTTCATGAGTTTGTATGAAACCATTTGCCAAAATTTAATCACAAAAATAATTCTTCCTTCTTCTTCTTAACGTGCCCTATCAAGTCCCCTTGACGTTGGCGATTAACATGGCGAAACTGTCTCTGTCTCGAGCTATTCTAAAGAGTTGCTCAGCTTTCTTTATTCCTGTCCAATCTCTGATATTGTTCAACCAAGAGGCCTGCTTTCTACCAATTCCTCTGCGTCCTTCGATTTTACCCATCATAATAAATTGAAGAATATTATATCAGTCTTCCCTTACTACGTGTCCAAAATAGGCCATCTTTCTACATTTGATGTTATCAAGCAGCTCGCGAGCAGCATTTGCTCTCTCAAGGACTGCCACATTTGTCAGCATAGCCGTCGTGCGGGCTATCTCGATTCTACATTTTATCTCTTGATCTGGATCTAGTTGTTCAGTAATATGGCAACCAAGATATTTAAAACTGGACACTCTTTGAATTATATGACCATCAACATATAATCGTACATCTTGATGTGCTAAACGGCTAAACACCATGTGTTTTGTTTTTGAACAGTTTATGTTTAGGCCAAACTCTCTGCCCACTGTATCAATGGCATTTAAAAGGCATTGTAATCCATTCATGTCATCACTTAAAATAACTGCATCGTCTGCATATCAGAATTCCATTAACTTTCACGCCCCATTCCAAATTATGCAGCGTTTCTTTAAATATTCTATCTGAATATGAATTAAATAACAGTGGGATAGTATACAACCCTGTCTGTCACCTCTTTGTATTTTACATATTTCTGTTTATTTTCCGTTTATGCAAGCTGTCGCTGTTTGACGCCAGTATAACTTTTCTATGAATCGTATGTTTTGACTATCAACTCGTTTATCTTTTAATATTGTAATTAATTTGTGATTCTGTACTCGATCAAAGGCCTTTTCATAGTCAATAAATACAGCAAAGACGTCTTTCCTTTGATCTCGACATTTCTGCAGTAATACATTTAGTGCAAAGAGGGCGTCCCGAGTTCCCAGTCCATTTCTGAAGCCAAATTGTGTTTCATCCTGATCTTCTTTACATTTATCTCTGATTCTACTGCGGATGATGCGTAAAAATATTTTCAAAGTGTGGCTCATAAGGCTTATCATTCTATAATCGCTACAGTTTTTCGGACGTTGTTTTTTTGGTAGTGTTATGAATTCGGACTTTAACCAATCTTCAGGGATATCACCAGTCGAATAAACATCATTAAAAAGTTTGACCAGTATTCCAATGTTCTCCTCATTTATAAGCTTTAACATCTCTGACGGTATGTTATCAGCACCAACGGCTTTCTTGTTCTTTGCTAACTTTATAGCATGCAGTATTTCTGATTTTAGTATTTCTGGTCCTTTACCTTCAACTAAAGTCTTCGGTTCTTCGTATCATCATTATACAGTTCACTTATATAATTACACCAGGTTGTTCGAATTTCATGTTCGTCTATTATCATTTTTCCCGACGAATCGGTTATAGTATGTGGAGTTTTCTTATAATAAAGACCAGCTACTTCACTAACTTTTTTAAACCTATTAAACGTATCATGTTTTTCATTCAACTTTTCGAATTCCTTGCATTTATCCTCCATTCATTTTTCTTTAGCCACCTTTATTTTTTGTTTAATTAGTTTCTGTTTTTCCTTATATTCTGTCTTGTTACCTTTTAGTTTCCTTCTCTGCTCCATTAATTCCAGGATTTCATCAGTCATCCATTGTTGTTTTTTGTGAATGTGTAACGTTGTTGAATATTTTTCTATTACTTTCAAGGTAAGATCTTTAAATGTGTTCCATATTTCCGTGTTGTTTTTATTTATTGATTTCTTTAGCTCATTGTTTAAGTCATTTTCTATTAACGTTTTGTTGGATATTGAGATATTTAATTTTGGTGTTTTGGGCCTTTTTTGGACTTTTTTGAGCTTCACTTTGATGTCAGTTATTACAGGGTTATGGTCTGAACCGATATCTGCACCAGGATGTGTCGTTACTCTGGTGACGCCATTCTTAAATCTCTTGTTTAGCAGAATATAGTCTATCTGATTTCTAATCATATGTAGTGAATTATTTCCTGGTCCCCTTCATGTGTATAACCTTCTTTTGTGTAATTTGAACCATGTATTTGCGATTGTCATGTCATGTTCTTGACAGAACTGGTATAATCTATCGCCTCTTTCATTGCTCTCCCCTAGTCCATATTAACCTACCAAGTCAGATCTTCGTCCTTCGTCAATTTTTGCGTTAAAATCTCCAATATTATATGTGACTTCGTTACGTTTTAGATTTTTAAGTGTCTGTTTTAATTGGCTATAGAATTATTCTTCCTATTCTATAATAAAAATAAAAATTCTTCCTATAAAGATTCTTCCTAAAACAAAAAAATGCTGATTCATATAATTGACAGTTAAACCTTTTTCAATTGATTTTTTTTATTCAACCCTTAACACTTTCTAAATGCACCTTACTAGTTCCTTGTCTTTCTAAAGCCCGAGACAAGTGTTGCCAGTCCACAAAACCATTATTATAGCTAAAACCATTATAAAACACTTCAAAACTACAACAACTGTTAACTACAACATCGCTTTTGGAACTCCGCTGACTGATTGTTGCTCCACTTGCTTGAGAACAAAGGAGCAGTTAAAAGTAGCAACTTCTTTAGCTGTTCGGCAATAGTTAGCCACTGGGCATCGTATTCATATCTTCAAAGCAAAGGCTTTTTTCAAACTCCTTAAAATCCAAAACCCAACACAACTTACTTTTCGTTCGACTGCCAAAAAAACTTAGCACTGCCTAGACTGCCTGATCAAGCAGCATATTTTAGCCAGCAAATAAACTATAATAATGTTACAATTGTTACTGGAACTTCTACCGATAAATTAAGACCAACAAATTTGTTTTCTTACGTGTGAACAGAAATTGACTCTAGAAAAGATTTTAATACAATAGCGTCAGCTTTGCAACATGCTCTAAAGAATTTTGATTTTGATGTCGGCATAGAAACAGTACGTTTGTTCGCTGATGGTTGTGGCAGACAAAACAAAAATTAAAATATGATGGCAATGTTGTCTTGATTGACTTCTAGAAGAATCGCCGAATCATATTAAACAAATTGAATTAATTTTTCGGATCGTCGCGCGTCGGTCATTCCTTTATTCCGCCTGATGGTATTTTCGGCCTTATAGAAAAAGTCATTAAAAGACATTTTTTTGTTTTACTCTGTAAACATTTTAGGCTAGAAACTTCTAATTTCTATTGCTAAAAACTCTAAGCAACAATAATAAAAAAATTTACGTTGTGAGTTAAACACTACTCGGCCGTTATTCGTTTTTTTTTTCGATTTCCCAACAAATTACTTTCGAGCAAAGAGCAAGTTTTGCAAATAGTGGCCTCATATACTATAATTAAATAGGCGAATTAGTTTTTCTATAAATTAAAGAAAGTAATAAAACCGCGGCATAATAAAAGTCGTGAGATAAAGAGAAATATTCGAGAGCATAAATAATAGGTTCAGAAAAAAAGAGACCAGAATACTTAGAATGAGATGCTAAATGTTAAGATTTGAGAAGGAGAGGAGAGAAAATCAAGGAATAACTGAAGATAAGCGACAGATATCTGTGATGAGTAATTATATGACCTAACATAAAAAACCTGAGTTATCAGTTAATTGTAAACGCCAACGCTTTACAGGAAAAGACAATTCTAATTATAATATGTAACGTTTTTATATCAAACTTTTTATTGGTTTCTTCACTAAATAATAAGTGGGAAAAAATTAATTATAAAAATTAATTTGTTTACTACAATTGTTTTCTCCGATTTGCGTTTATTGTCAATCAAACAAAGTACCATTAAAATAATAAAAGCGTGGTAGATTAGAAAGAAAATAAAGGTCTATATCAAGTGAACATATTTATTTAGATATTTAAAACGGTTTTAGACACCAACATAGCAGCATCCAATTTAAAATATTACAACATGTGTTCCAACAAAATTTTACTTGTGTCTATTTCTCTTCTCAGCTGCTTCTATTTTGCACATGCACAGATAACTAAGTAAGTTTGGTTCATTTTTTTTTTCATTTTATAACAAAGTAGTACTATATCGATTTGGTTTAGGAAAATAAAATGTAAAAAGTGTAAAATTTTGGTTTATCTCCATATTAGCTTCTTAAGAGCTGATGTATTTTATACTCAGTTCCAATTTTCTTTATAAATCTAGGCTTTAATGTGGCCCAAGGCTTTAATGGTTTTCTTCCATTTCTTTTTATCTTGTGCTGGGTTTTTCCAGTTTTGTACTCCTTACAATCCTAAGTCTTCTTTTACCATTTCACCGATTCCGTTCATTATTTTCGTGGTCGTACTCTTTTCCTTTTTGTGCAGGTTTCAGTATTTTTTAAAGCTTTGGGATAGCGTCCTTTCTGCATTCTAGCTACGTGTCTGAGCCATCTTAGACTTTAAACTTTCGCAATCTTTGAAATTTTTTTTTGTCCATATTTCATTATTTTTTGTCTTGCCCAGATATGCCTATCTTTTATACCTCCATATATTCCTCTAAGTATCTTTTGCTCTCATCTATTTACCTTCAGTTCTATGGTTTTTCTTAAGATCCAGGTCTCGCTAGCATAAATCACCATCAGTCGGATAATCGTTTTATATATTCTTTTTCTTGCTCCTCTGGATATTTTTTCCTGATCCCAAAATCTTATTTAGAGTTCCAGTACTTTTATTACCTTTAGCCATTCTTTTTTCGATTTCTTAAGCCTCTTTATTTCTATTTGTTAACGTTACTCCCAAATAATCGAACTGTCCAACTATCTCAAAGTTATATTCCTTGTCTGGTACAGATACTTTCAAAACTATCCTAAATATTAATTATTTCCTCCTATCTTCATATACTTTGTTTTTTCTTTATTTACTGTCAGCCCATACCGCCTGGCTGTTCTCTTGAGTTTTTTTTTTAATTTCTTCGAATTCTGTTGGTCTTCATCGGTGTTTAATACATTTTTAAAATATCTGGCTCATCTGTCCAGTTTTTCATCTATTCCTGCTACTAAACGTCAGTACTTATCCTTATATTATTTCGGTGGGTCTTATATTGACTTCATTTGATTTTTAATTTAGGTACAACTTTTGTTTTGTTCTGCGTATTTTCTTTACTCTCCTCTTTTCAGCATATAGTTCCCTATTGTTCAAATTATTTTTTTTATGCTATTGACTCTGGCTCTTACCAACTTTTGCGTTAAAATCTCTTAAAATTATTTTCATATCATATGATTGTATTTCGTCCAACAGTTTTTTTAGTTGTTCATAAAAGTAATCTTTAATATCCTTATCCTTATCTTCTGTTGGGGCATGTATATTTGTAAATGCTGTTTTTCTGTACTTTTCCCTGATCTCTATCATAATCTACCTTTTGTTGATCGTAGACAAAACAGTTTCATAATATTGTTCTGAAGCTATTTTCTTGTGGCATTTTAAATTAATTACTATTTACTGTTTGTACTTTGAAAACGATTTCCGAATTGGAAATTGAAACGTCAATAAACGTATTTTTACCTTTAATTGTGGCTTATTCCCAGTTAAATAGTAATTAGTAGACAAAACGACGAGAAATTGGAAAACATTCCTAAGAGATTCTATGAGACTTTTCAAATAATTAGAGAGGTATGTCTTCAGAACAATGAGAAATTTGATAAAGTTTCTAGAACATTCGATTAGGTAAAAGAAAATATTAAACAGTTAGAGAGCATAATGATCAACACGAAGGTGCTACCACAAGTTATTGCAGTAGTTTTAGATCCTGTAGTGAAAGAAGAATCACCGAGAGACGAAACGACACATCACATGAGATTCAAATTGCCAGTATTTGATGGGAAGTCTTCTTTATACTTTAGACAATTTAAAGCTACTGCGACTGCTAATCATTTTACAGAAAAAGAAAAGGCTGTTTCCCTTTACTGTTGCTTTACGAAATGTTGCAGATATCCCAAGACTGATTTCTAAGGGTCAAGAAAAATTTAACTCGACTAGGTAAACGTTACGGAGCTGCTTATCTACAAGTCTTTAATGCACAACTAATTAGTAGAATTCAACGAGCAAATGAAAATTTTCAAGAATTGGAAATAAATTTTGCTCGTATAGTGCGGTTGATTTATTGGGAGGCACCAGACAACATGTTTAAAGTAATTGCTGTGGATATCTTTATCAATGGGTTATCTTCATCAAGACGTTAAAAGTGAATTATAGTGCTTTATGACTAGCAAGACCAAAAGTTTTAGATGAAGCTCTCGCTTTTGACTTGGAACACAAAACAGCTAGTGAAGCTTCACAGAGCTGTCTAGTACGAACCTTTGAAGAAGATAACGAACAAAACAACAAACGTCTGTAAGGAATCATACAGAAAAAAAATTGTAACACGATACCGAAGAAATGCGTTTCAGCAGAAAGCTAGAACAGATTGAATACTGGGTTGAAAAAATTCATTCAAATGCTAATGCTCTGTCAAGCTATATATGTGGTGTAAATTGTATTAACTGTCGTAAATTAGAATTAATTATTATTAACTGTCGTGAATTGGATGCGTCGAGGTGAAATACCTTCTTGGCAAGATATTAATGCATGTAGCCCAGAAGTCAAGTCTTACTGGAGCCAATGGAATTGCCTGGTACTAAAAAATGATCTTGTGTATAGAACCTTTCAAAACAATGATGATACAGAATCTAAGCTTTAGTTGATTGTATCTTAAAGTAAAGTATCAGAAGTATAAGTACTTCAATAAGTACTCATCATGAGGATGAACCGCATGATGAGTAAATACCTGTTCAAAGTTGCATCCAACTATTAAAGAGATTAATACCAGCACTCTAATGTATTCCTAATGGCCTACTTTACGCAGAACAAAACAGTTTTAGATTCGTCGTGACAACACAAATTCAGCAAGATTTGTTGTGTTCCGAAAAACAACTCCCTAGCCCATTGTGTCCAAGAATATGGCCTTACCAAAGATGGGCCATGCACTAGAAAATCTAAGTTGGAAGATTGTCAGAATCAAGCTTGAATTGATCTTCCGAAAAACCGGCGTACGAATTACTGTCTGTTTCATTAACCCGAAGAGATCGTCTCCTTCACAGTAGACTGTTATTTCTTTCTGAGGGGTTTATGCAGAGCTGGAGAGTTCTGTAGATTTCGCCATCCTGGACCTACATATAAAGTTGATCATCAGTACGCTTTGAACATAAACTTAAAGAAAAACTAGAAGACTAAATGAGTAGTACTGTTGAAAACATAGATAATTTCTGGAATGAGTGCGAGAATATCCTAAAAGAAGTAGCCACAACAGATGTAGGAAAGAAGAAACAAGAAAGGAAGCGGACAGAATGGTATGATGCGGAATGCGCACAGGCAACTCAAAAACAGAATCAGGCTTATGGGAAACTCCAAAACAGAAGGACAAGACAAAATCAAGAGGAGTACAAACAGATGAGTCAATCAGAAAAAAAAAAGATATTAAAACAAAAGAAAAAACGACATTTAGAAAACCAGCTACAAGAACTAGAAAGGCTCAATTCACAAAGCGAAGCGCGAAAATTTTATAAAAATGTGAACCGCAATAGAAAAGAGCTTAAACCTAGAATAACCATAATAAAAAGTAAGAAAGCCGAAATTATCAATGAGCCGGATCAAATAGTGGAGAGATGTGCGGAGAATTTTGCTAAGAAATTAAATATGGGCAACCAAGAAGTGACTGACATAAATGACCGCAGTGAAGACGTAAACGATGAGAGGGAGAAAAATAATATACCAACAGAAGAAGTTTTCAAGGCAATAAAAAGGTTAAAAAAACCCCTGAAAAAGATGGTATACTCCCAGAGCTGTTCAAGTATGGAGCAAACTTCCTAAAAAATACATAATAAAACTTTTTGCATCCATTTGGAAAGAAGGAAAACTCTCAGACAGTTGGAATGTAGGTATTATAATACCTATTTACAAAAAAAGGGATCCACTTATATGTGACAATTATCGAGGCATTACCCTCCTAAATACGGCTTACAAAGTACTGTCTTATATATTGTATGATCGATTAAAAGTATATACTGAAGAAAAAATAGGCAAATACCAATGTGGATTCCGACAAGAAAGGTTAACAATTGATCAGATTTTGCTTCTCAGGCAAACCTTAGAAAAGACATATGAATATGGAATTGATACCCATCACCTCTTCATAGATTTTAAAAGTGCTTATGACAGTGTAGACAGAAGCGCACTTTATAATGCCATGGCAGAACTAGATATTCCGTCGCATCTAATAACATTGGTAAAGGCAACTCTTTCGAAAGTTTAGTGCAAAGTCAAGGTACAAAACAGAGTGTCAAGGTCTTTTTAAACACATACTGGATTACATCAGGGAGACAGTCTATCGTGTCTATTGTTTAACATCGCGCTAGAAAGAGTCATAGAGAAATCGGACATAACAACCAGAGGTATGATCATCAATAGAAGTGTACAGATATTGGCCTACGCAGATGACATTGACATAGTAATACGGACAAAACGAGACCTGATACAGGCTTTTGAAACATTAGAAAAAGCTGCGAAAAAATGGGACTGCTGGTTAACGTATCCAAAACAAAATACATAAAGGTCACGAACAGTATAAAAATAGCGGCACCACAAGATCTGGTGACAGAAGCACACAAATTCGAAGACGTCTCTTAGTTTATATATCTTGATACAGAACTAAATAACAGCAACCTAGTAAGCGTAGAAATTAAGGGAAAAATATACCTGGCGAACAGAGCTTACTTTGGACTAAAGCTGTTCTTAACATCACACATAATTAGCAGAAAAACCAAGATACTAATATATGAAACTCTTATTCAACCTGTCTTGACATACGCGTCAAAGACATGAACTATGATAAAAAGCGACGAAGAACTGTTAAGCCGCTTTGAAAGACGAATAACTAGACACATATACGGAGGAATACAAGAAAGCGGGATATGGCGCAGGCAATACAATTTTGAGTTGTATCAATGCTATAAAAAATGCAACATCGTCCGCTCTATTAAAATTAATAGATTAAGGTGGCTAGGACACCTGTAAAGAATGGACACTGGAGACTCCCAAAGACAGATATTTTATCAAGAGCCAGTAGTAACCAGGAAGAGAGGCAGGCCAAGATCTAGATTCAAAACTCAAGTCGAAGATGACGTGAGGAATCTAGGGGTCAGAAATTGGAAAGCCAGGGCGAAGGATAGGGGGGAATGGAGAGTAATTCCTGAACAGGTCGAGACCCACCCAGGGTTGTAGAGCCAAAGATGATGATGATGATCGGTACGCTCAGATCTAATAGTGGAGCAGGGTAATAAACAAGATAATTTCGACGTTCCCCATACAAGGATTAAATCTTTTGTAATAATTATGCGTGTTCAAGAATCTTTAAGATGTATCGACTAGCTTTCAGACTAGCGAGATGTATCGAAGATCGAGGAGTTTAGACCAGCGAGAATAGATGTAGACTGTTGTTAGTTTTAGTTAATTGATAAGCGAATATCGTACTGAAAACTTTAAATAAATATTTTATATACATTTTTTTTATTGAGTTAATGCCTCGACAACTATGATCATTGGCATGGTACAGTCAGGTACCTAGTGTAGTATGTGTGTGTGTGTGTGTGTAGAGTAATTGTCTTGATACTTAGCAAAGTCGACGTCATTGTCTTTGTTAAGAGACGCTAATTGTATCCGAACGTCTGCGGTCCCTCTGGTGAGTACCGATCGCACAAGGATAGATATTATTTTCATTTATTAATTTTTAATAAACGAAAATTTCTCCACCATGATGAGATTCGAACTCACGACCTTTAGGTTTACAGGCAGGCGCTCTTACCACTGAGCCACAGAGGGGGTATTTTTATATAAATTAGAACCTCTCGTTTTATTGTTAAAAACAATACAATATATATTTTGATTCACTTATACTATTCTTTCGTAATTTGATTATTTTTTTATTGCATATATTACTTTACAAGCTTTATTTTTTACAATTATTTTTAATGACTTTTTATTTTTATTTTAGTGCTGAAGTAAATGATCTGAAGGCAGCTTGGCATGTATATAATAAAGATCCAATCAAATATGCTACTGACCTTGTAACCACGTAAGTTTGCAGTTTAAGTACCATTTTACACTCATAGACGATTGAACGTTGCGAGCGGAATCAAAAACGATTTATCCTTCTGTATATTCTCATTTAAATTCTATAAATTATTTTCAATATTTTTTTAATTTAAGTATCCAGTCCCTGAACAAGATATAAGTAGAATAGCAGTCTAGATCAAGTAGCTCTTTGTGTTTTATAAATTATATAGATAAGATAAGTAAACGACTTGCGTTAGAAATAAAAAAAATTTATTTAATAATATTTAAAAAAAATTATGGGAAAATTGCAGTAGTTGTATACCATTGTTTAAAAAGCATACAAAAGTTAAAACACTTCACATTTGTATTTAGGTATAACAAACATATAGCTAAAACATTTAAAAAGTGTAGTCAAAATTTATACAGTAGCATAACGTTTTCGATCTAATCAGATCATCTTCAGTGCCTTCTTATGTAATTGAAGCTAACACTAAATTTGTAGCTGTAACATCCATATATGGTTTTACATTATTCCAAATTTAAATTATACTATCACTCTAGGTCGATGACATTGGATACAAATTAATACTTGAGGAGCTACATGTCTCCTTGTTCGGCTTGAACACGTGGTTCTTGTCGGTTAAAACGACACAGACCAACTGCTATCCGGACCGAGCATGTAACAAGAAGAAGAACCTAATTGTGCTCTGTACCTGCTTATAATTTACAACACGATTAGAATTTTAGGGTACACGTAAACTCATCACCAATTAGCATAAATACCCCTCGTACATAGTACAAACTCATCACCGCCATAAAACTAGAGATTTTAAAATAGTCTCCGGGAGATTGGTAAACTCATCACTGGTCTACCTGCACCGGTGTCGGCCGATATGCGCTCGACCGTTTTGCGCTCTTACCTGAAATCGGCCGGTTTGCGCTCTCTTGTAATCGACGTTTAATTTTATTCTACCATACCGATCAGGTAACGGTTAGCCTAGTAAAATTAGTTTTAAAAAATCATAAAACTATAAAAAAATAAAGTTAAACCATCTTCTCTTCACACTTTCATTCATGCTTAGGACTGTCATAGGTTATACATAATATAAACATTGGCGTGTTTAGTTGTTTTTTTTACTTTTTCATTTTTTTTAATTTGTTAATTTTATTTTTGTTTTTTTTATACAGTAAAATAGAAAAAATTCTTGGGAATTAAAAATTGTCTATTTCTGGCAGCTTCTGGATATAAGCCAATGTCTTTTAACACAACCTTAAGGCCCTTGTATCTTATATTTCTGTAAAGTTTTGGATATTTTTTCATCAAGATTAATATATGTTTTTTGCGCCGCTTTCCTTCTAGATTGAAAGTAAATCGATCATAAAGGTGATCACAATATTCTGCTTCTTTTATCAGGCACTTCACCAACTGGAATACATTGGGATGTGGTCTTATTAATGTATTCAGACGATGAATCCCACCTCCTAAAACGTTATTACTGCGATGTCTTTAATCATGGCAATTTCACATTTCCTTGGTAATGTGAGTATTTTCTAACCATTGTTTGACAAAGTAGTCATAAAACTGTTCCGTTTTTTCCGAAATAGGAGAGTTTCTTGAATTCATAACCAGCCATCATCGATATCTTCTATGGGTAGATACGCTAATGCAGCAAACATTCTTATGTGCAAACGTATCTCTTCGTTGTCAGTGTATTCAGAAACAAGTCCAATATTTTGGCATTTTTCAATATACATTGATTGAAATGAAAATTACAACTAGAAATTTTGGCTTCGGGTAAATAATTTTCTAAGGCACCAATCAATGCCTGTTGAAAATCCAATTTTATAAGAGATGGTTTTCAATTTGGTAGTTTCTCTTTCATTGATGAAAATAACATATCGTATGTCTCTTTGGTTTTGTTAGGAAGTAACGCAATTATCAATGGACTTGTATTTATCTCCTCTAACGTACTACCAATATCGAAATAAACGGTTTACATTTGACTAAATTGCTTACTGCAGCTTTTGAATGTTCCATCCAAAAATACAGTGTCTTTACTATTAACCAAAATCTCCCTAGCTTTGTTGCTTGCAAACACAAAGATTCTGTATCCTGAGAGAGTGGTCTTGTCGATAAATAAAAATTTCGTTTTGTCGTTCATTGTAATAATTTCTTCTGGAAATACTATTTCGGATGCTGCCGCTGGATATGTGAACAGCCCACGCGCACGTTTTCTACAATCGTTTAAACCACTTTTCACTGAAGAGAATTTTGGGATGTTGGTCACGAAATCCAGTCCTTTTATAATCTTTGAAATTCATCTTGATATATTTTTGACATCGGCAAATAACTATTGTCTTCCCTAGCTCTTTTTTGAGCATTGAAAACACATTGCTTCACTTCTGTCGCTGCAACACTCGGCTTACATAGATGTTCGGCTTCCTTAATTATTGTGTTATTATCCATAATTATGTGGCCTCGACATTTTTCAGTTTTCTCTTTAAAACTCCAAAAAACAGAACTATCTTTATTCGTTTTTTTGTTCATACGAAAACTGTACCCTTTATACAATGCACATGGTTTTCCCTTCGAAGTTTTAATAATTTGCACATCCATTTTTAAAACGCTAACTGACACTAACTCACACTGATTCACAATAATTCTTGATCCTACTATCTCAAAAACGCCATAGAAATGATTGGCCATCAATATGGTCATTATCATGTGGAATTTTCAGGTAATTTTTCTGTTACCATACCCTTTGTTAATGACAAGTTGATATCAGTTCGCATTATCAGGTAGAAAGGAAAGTTAGTTCCAGTGATCTCTTATTTTGGGAATTCTAGTTACTAACTATATTTTTAATTAACTTTCAGGTAGAAGGATTATAAACAGAGTTCTTCTTCTTCTTCTTCGTCTAGCCATTCACGTCCACATCTGAACATAAGCCTCTTCAAGTCTTCCTTTCCATTGGTTTTTATTGTACGCTACTTGTAGCCAATTTTTCCCGGCAGTCCTTTTCAGATCATCTGTCCATCTCATAGAAGGTCTGCCTCTGGGTCTTTTGTGTTGGTATGGTCTCCAGGTTAAAATTGATCTGTGCCATTTGTTTAGATCGCTCCTAGCTACATGTCCAGCGTATTCCCATTTCAGCTTTAATGCTTTTTGAACCACATCGGTGACTTTGGTTTTCTGTCTTATCCATGTGTTTGTTTTCTTGTCCTTAAGTGATATACCTAGCAGTGCTCTTTCCATCGCGTGTTGAGTGACTCTAAGTATATTCATATTCTTTTTTGTGATTGTCCATGTTTGTGCCGCATAAGTTAATATCGGAATAATGCATGCACCAAAAACTTTAGATCTAAGATGTAATTGAATTTGTTGATTTCTGAGTATATAGTTCAGTTTACCGAATGCTGCCCAAGCTAACTTTCTTCTTCTTTTTATTTCTTCAGTCTGAATTTCCCTATTTAGGATTATTTTTTGTCCCAAGTATATATATTCTTCAACTTTTTCTATAACTTTATCGTTTATTATTGTCACGATGTCTTCGGAGTGCATGACTTTTGTTTTGTTTAAATTCATTTTCAGTCCTATTTTAGAAGATTCGGTATGAAGTTCTACAAGCATGGTTTGCATTTCTTGTAGGTCAGTAGCTATCAGGATTATGTCATCTGCAAATCGTAGATTACTGAGGTAGCGGCCATTGATGTTTATTCCCTTATATTTCCAATTTAGGTTTTTAAAAACGTCCTCCAAAACTAAAGTGAACAGTTTGGGTGATAAAGTATCTCCCTGTTTGACTCCCCTGTTTAATGGTACAGGGTTCGTGTGTTCATTTTCATTTAGGTAGTATGTAGCTGTAGCTTGGTTCATAGTTTCTTTTATTAAGTTAATATATCTGCTGTCTATTCTACAATTTTGCATTGCGTTTATTACGGCCGTGTGTTCTATGGTATCGAAAGCTTTTTCGTAGTCTACAAATGCAAGGAAAACTGGAAACTTGTATTCGTTACATTTTTCTATTAATATTTTTGTGGTTAACAGGTGATCGGAAGTTGAATAGCCTTTTCTAAAACCTGCCTGTTCATATGGTTGGTATTCGTCTAATTTCCTTGTTAGTCGAGTAGTTATGACTTTGGTGAGTATTTTAAACAAGTGTGACAGTAGGCTGATGGGTCTGTAGTTTTCCAATTTTCGACTATCACCTTTCTTGTGAAATAAGATTACTTTAGAGTTGTTCCAGCTCTTAGGGACTTTGCCCTGATGTAAACAACTGTCCACAAGCTTAGTTACAATTGCAATTAGTTCCTTACCTCCTTCTAATATCATATCTGTGGTAATACTATCTTCTCCTGCAGCTTTATTTTTCTTCATGTTTTCCAATGCTGTAGTTACCTCTGAAATTGTTACTTTTGGCATTATTTCTGATCCAACATTTTTTATTAATTTCCGTGCTGGTCTCATCTCATCATCTTGTTGATGTGATCTGTAAAGTTCTGTGTAAAATTCTTCTATTCGTGTCAGTATGTTTTCTCTACTTGTGATTTCATTTTCGTCTTTTCCTATTAATGATATCATCTGACGTCGTCCTAGTGTCGGTCTGAGACATTTCATACTCTTATTTTTTTTCAATAGTTGTTGTTATTAATTTTTCGTTTTCTTTTCTTTTTTGTTGTCTGATTCCTTTTCTAATCTGCCTATTAAGTTCTCTATATTCGTCGGTTCCCCTTTTGTTAGATTTATTTAAGATCTTCCTTCTTTCTATTTGTTTAGATTAAACAACACTTTATTAATGATTAAAGAACACTCTGTTATTCGACAGTATTAGAAAAACTTAATAATTTTGTTAGTTTTGATTTGACATTTTTTTTTTCAAATCTGAAGGAAAAAGATATTTCTGTTTATTTGACATGTTAGTTTGTTCATTGCAGGTTCACCAGACTATTATTGTAGAATGAAATTAAAATTATATTGCAAGAGAGCGCAAATCGGCTGATTAAGGAAACTATAGTAGTTAGATATTTCTATTATGAAAATTGCAAAGCGCAAACCGGTCGATTTCAGGTAAGGGCGCAAAACGGTCCAGCGCAAACCGGCCGTATTCACCTTACCCCGTGACAGGTATACACCATGAATCCCTTGCAAAATACTAAGATTTGGTAATTTATACAGGATGCAAATGCAATTCATTGATTTGTATTTAGGAATTCAAAAAAATTCTATTGATAGCTACCTGAAACTATGCGAAAAGAAAAATTTCTGTTTATTTGCCGTTGTTACTTTATCATGGATAGTGAACTGCTCATTGATTACGTTTTGTATACTTATCAATAATTTCAAATTTCAATTGTTAAAGACTCTAAAATCAAATTGCCTTTTGAGGACTTGTTCGACGAAAGGGTGTAAGGCTAAAATATCACACAACTGGTGAGTAGATTTTATACCATTTTTTCAATTGTTTCACACTGGTGGCGGATCATTCTGATCAAACAGTAAAAATCAGCTTAATTAAGTTCTTTAAGTTAACTGTACAAGACGTTTCTTGTAGACAAGGCATAGTATTACTTTGTTGCTTTAAGTAGATAAATCTTTCTGATAATAACATTTTTAGATAAAATGTTAATATAAATCTAATATAATCTAATAAAATTGTTAAAGTCACATTGTCATAGTTTTAAATTTTAGGGAGATCATTCCAAAACATTGAATATCTCAAAAAGGTATGCTAGATATTACGTTGACGTTTCACCTATGGATGTGACGGAAAAGATTTTTGTTTTTTTTTATTACGACAGTTTTACATCATCATCAACATCATCAACTAGCCTCTAACGTCCACTGCTGAACATAGGATTGCTGAACAACAACATCTCGTTGAGGGTCGACCTCTATTTATGTTAGCTTGTATTCGGGGTCTCCATTCCAAAATCTGCAAATTTAGGGTTATTTAAAAATTTTCCATCTACATTGATGCCCTTTTCGTTCCAATCTAGTGTTTTACAAGCGTATTCTAGCAAAGTTGTAAATAATTTAGGAGACATGTTGTCTCCTTGCCGAACGCCTTTTTCAATACGAAAGATACGAGTATCTTCGTTAAGTCTTACATAGGCTGTAGCATGATGATAGATGTTTCTGATGAGGGATATGTATCGGTGATTTATTTTACATTGTGTTAGAGCTTGGAGCATTTCACTTTGATTGACCGTATCAAATGCTTTTGCAAAGTCGACAAAGAAAAGTATCAGGAGTCTATTATATTCAATGGTTTTTAGTTTTACATCAGACACCATTTATTTAATTAATTTTGATTGTTGGTTAAATTTTCTTGATTTTAATTGCAATGAGAATGAGAAAATTAATATTTACAAAACTGTTAAAAAAACATTCTTGAGAATTTGCGTTACTTGCCGAAATCAGATTACATGGATGGATCATTCCAATATGCTCCAAAATTTTTCTTGCAATTATATACCATCCATGGCTTATTAAATGGGTATTACGTGTTTTTATATTCTGTGTTCTTCCCGACAAATGCGTATAAACTTACGTCAAGGTCTTTACTGAAATAATTGGTTGCTTTGAAAAAGCAACCAATTTGAAAAAGCGACATTGGTTGATGTCGTTTTAAGTCGATCAAGAATTGTGGCTGATTTTAAAATTTCGATTTAAAAGGCCATAGTTGCCGTTCGGCCATCTGCGAAGCGAATTGGGTGTTTATTTCACATGACTTAAAGTTAGTTTCGCAAAATACAAAAAGATGGTTTGGTAACCACTTACAAGAGGGTATACTCCAACGGCAAGTGGCACCACTTATTTAACTTGCCATTTTTGGACCCAGAACGAGTCGGCGATTGTTTTATCAACTATATTATGCAAATATTTCTAACCTGCCTTGATTTATGAAAATGGCAGATTATATGATAGAGAACTTCATAAGTAATGAGTGTCTTTTCCCTCTGTTTGGCCATCCCAGTCTATCCATATACATTTCACCACAAATTCATGTGAATCTTTTCATTACAAATTTTCCAACTGTTTTTAATAAATATTTTTATTAGAAAGTTCACTATCGAAAGCCTATACAACTAAATTTTTAGATTGTCAAAACCCGACAATAATATCAATGTTAAAGCAATTTGCTTAAAATAATTTCTGAATTTAATAAACTAATGCAGTGATTCTCAACCTGTGGGGCGCGCCTCCTAGGGGGCGCGGTATTACTAATGGGGGGGCGTAAGCCCATTCAAAAAAAACATCAACAACATTGACTAATTTACTAAAATCAAAACAAAACAAAATTCTTACAAAATTAAAAATAAAAAACACATGAACACTGATATAACAGGTATAATTATAGAGCACTGAACACTAAATTATGAACAATTTTAATAATAAATCAGTGACTTGCTTGAGCTTGCTTTGTAGAGCAAAGTTTATCGAAACGGGGTGTATTATTAAAAATAGACGTTCTCAGTTTTCTTTCTATATTGAGCTGCGATTTATATTTGGTCTTCAAAGCAGCCATCTCAGAAAATCCTGTTTCGCAATGGTAGGATGTTGAAAACGGCATCTTTTAAAATTTTTATTCAGCATCGCTAAATGTTTTTCAATGGTTACAAAAGCAACTTTCACGTGTTTTTCTTCAACCTTGTACGTTTTAATACATTCATCCGCATTTGCAAACATTTCTAGGTTTTTTGCTTTAAATTTCTGCTCCAAAATTCCAATTTTTTACAAAAACCATTGACTTTATCACTCGTATCCAATATATGTATGAAGTTGGCTCCTTGAAGTTGAATGTTCAAAATATTTAGTTTCTCGAATATGTCAACCAAGTATCTCAATTTCATCAAAAATAAACTATCTCGAAACATCTCGGCTTCCGGTCTATTTTCTTCTTCTAGAAAAACAGCGATTTTATGTCTCAATTCAAAAACACGTTGTAAAAATTTCCCACGCGATAACCATCTTGCCTCACAATAAAATAATAATGCTGAATGTAATGCACCCATGTCTTTACAAAGTGCAGAAAAGATTATGGTTTTCAAAGGTCTTATTTTTATGTAATTAACCACCGTTACAACCGTTGTTAGCACAATATTCAGGCCAGGAGACATTTCTTTGGAAGCCAGAGCTTCTCTGTGGATCATACAGTGTGTCCATATACACATTGGAGACTTTTGTTTCACAAGCGCTTGTAGACTATTACATTTTCCGGTCATTGCACGAGCACGATCTGTGGATATTCCGACGCAATTCTTTCACTCTATTTTTGCTTCATTTATATAATCGTTTAAGATAGCACATAATGCGAGCGACTTTGCTTTCAGTTTTATTGGTTTGCAAAAAAGTAGTTCTTCTACTAATGATATTTAGTAAAATCTTAAAATTACAACAGAACAAGACTTCAAAATAAAAACATGGTTGCAAATAAACAAACTTACATTAAATTATGAAAAAACTAAATACTCATCTACTTTTTGCTATATACAAAAGTTGGCTGTCAATGTTTAATTCGTTAAATATAAATAACAAAGATCAAATATATGGATCGGAGTACACAACATATTTAGGGAATAAATATTTAAATGGGAAGTACAAATAAAAAATATTAAAACTTGATTTGTTGTATATCTCGATATTTAGTGACAATTTTATAACTTAATCAGGAGAAAACTGTAAATTTATTAAGATGAGATATTGACAAAAGTTAAATACTTTATTACTTACAATATACTTAGAATATACTAATACTCTTATAGTTGTAAGTAATGAAGTATTATTTATAAATACAAAAATTTCTTTGTTTAAAATTTGTTTTGTTAAAAATTTGTAGTGACAAAATGTGGATAGAAGCTTGCAGACGAGAAGATTTATTGTTAAAAATGGATATACTTTATAATAGTTATAGTATTTGTGAGCTACATTTTAAAGATAATCTTATTGTCAAAAAAAAATGAAAGAAAAACATTGGTGCATGACGCTGTACCTTCCAAATTTCAATATAATACGATAAACACAATTGATATTTTATATTTATTGAAAGTCAACATAAATGCTCAATTTTATTTAAGAATTTATGTTGTGTGATATGCCCACTGACTATTAGTTAGCTGGTTGCTTTTCTGTCATTTTCACTCATTGACGGCTTGCCCACGCAAGATCAAAGGAGTGTTGCTTCTCTGCGTTCGTAGTTCTCTGGCTGGTCTGGGTCTGAGGAGGAGAGATAAGAACTCGGAACTTCTCGCGAAGAGAGACGATCGGTTCTGGATCGGAATTAAGGTATTACTGTAAGTTTAGTGCAAGGGCGCAAGAGAGACTGGCTAAAAAATTTTACAAATAAATATACTTTAATAACGATAAGGTTTGATTGTCTTTATGGCACTCAAGTGTGTGAAAAGTGACTTAAAAAAATTTCGGTACCACCGAAAAAAGTTTATTTACCACCACACCCCCTGAAAATCGGTCCTGGATTCATATATTTTTATTGTATGAGGGGGAGGGCGCAGTGAAAATAATTATATAAAATTGGGTCGCAACTGGTAAAAGGTTGAGAAACGCTCAATTAATGCATAAAACAAGAATTGTAACAGTTGTAACAGTTAACAGTTGGAGCAAAAATGCTGGTGATGAGTTTACCTATTTTCGGTGATAAGTTTACCTAATTCCAACGGATGCCTGGGATCAGGTTACTATATCTTTAGATTGTGCATTTAAAATAAAGTTAATTCAAGTTTATTTTTAATTTCAGTGTCGTCGATCACGTAATTGTACCATTAGCTAAAGAAAATCTTAAACTACTTGACTTCGTACTCAGTGCAGAAGCAAGAGAAAAAGTACTCGCAGCTCTCCCCAAACTTAAAGAAATTGTCAATGTAGAACTATTTAAAACTCTAGTTGTTGATGGGGCCAAGATTATTAATATGAGCATTGATGCACTAGTTGACACACTAGTTTCAGTTTTAAATTCCTTGGAAGCATCTTTAAAAAAATATCTAGGCATTATTTTAGACATTATAATACAGATTGGCGACGAGGCATTAGGAGTAAGTTTATATACATTATTTATTTAAATCGAATAAACTCCGTTTGAAAATGATTAATTAAACAGATTTTATGACACAGATTCTATTTGTATTGTATGTTCGAAGTAGTCACATTATTTCTGTAAATTCTTTAACAAAGACAACAAGGTATTCATGTTTATAATTTCTATTTTAAATCTCCTCTCATAACAGCTGTACTATAATGTATTTTTAAATCAATTTTAATTGAAATTGAGCTAAAGAATATTATCAGGATATGACGTGTAATATAGGCATACATGTAGTCCAGGCTGTGAGGCCGCTTCCGTTGGGAAAATGTTTCTGATTCGGTTTCTTCGCGGATTCCGGTTAAAAAATGTCCCCTTTAAACAAATCTGAAGGGTGCCGGGCGAAATTTTCGGGCAGAAATTGTTTAAACAATTTTTTTAAACAAAGTCCAAAAATATTTTTTTTTAATCTGGAAAACATTTTTTTGGGTTTTTTGGGCCATTTTAAACAAAAAAAGTCTCTTGTCATTTTTCTCTTAAGTTGACAGTTTTCGAGTTATAAGCGATTTAATGTCTGAAAAACGCGAAAATACGCATTTTTGAGGCTTGAAAACACATATGTAAATTATTATTTTTGAGGTTACCAAGCGTCTAAATTAAAGTTTAAACATTCAACTTCTAGATTGTGAAGAGTAATTGGGCTTATTTTAATTTAGACCGTTGTTTTTTAATTGTTAAGTATGCGCGTACACTCGATTTTTCAGCCGCCGCGGCGCCGCGCGGTACCGTGCGCCTCTATCGTACATATGCATAGTTTACATATACTTACAAATAATTATTATTTATTGAGTACATATTTTTTTATATCAATTGAGTTATAATATAAATTTCGTCTAAAATCTAATAATAGTTACACAAAATAATTGTACAAAAGATTGTTAAATAACACACTAATAACACTCAGTAAAAGTATCTTTGTTTTCACAAAAATCTAAATCACATCCACATAATGGTACACAGTTGACATGATTTTTCTTGCAGTTGCAAGCATTAGTTTTGCAAATCTTTTTGCATTTGCACGGTTTCCCAACCCACCACTATCAGACATATAATATTCATATTGTGTAAAATCGAGAGTTTGATAGCGGGAATATATGGCATTTCGCCAAATATATGTTTTAGCTAAAGCTCTTAACAAGTGTTGGTAAAGTGCGTCAGAGGTACAATGTATATTGGCTAGATTAAATTAAATTTTTCAGTCACACTGTCTTTTTGTCGAAGAGCAGCATTTTGTATTGTTATGTAAAAATCTACTTTAGGTTTTTGCACTAATATTGTTGATATTATTACAAAAAATACAAACTAAATTTTCTTCGGTAAGTTTTCATTTAAGAAGAGGTACGGAAAAAGACATTTTAAATCCATTCACAATTTTTTTAATAACACATTAATAATATAATACCCTTTTAATGGGCATTAAACAATAGTCTTCCTAATGATCGTTTAAGTAATAACAAATCAAGTATGAGCGCGCGATTGTTAAACAGGTAAAAACTTGCATTTTTGCGATAGTATATTGTTTTTAAACACCGCGCAATTTAAAATTAAGTTTACTAATATTAATATTTACTGCATTGTATTATTTAAATAATAATTTAAAAATATTATTTACAATTGATATAAATAAATATATACTCAATAAATAATATTTATATTGTTCAAATTTGAAAGAAAAAAAAAACTATATACGGTTATTACATTGTGATGATTGATTGATTTAATTAGCCCAATGACAATAATTAATACCTACATAAATAAATTATGGAAAAAAACTATGTTAATAGACTTCAAGGATTTGTTCGGGTTTTTTTGCGTAAGTGTATATGTAAACTATGCATAAGTACGATAGAAGCGCACTCTAGCGCGCCGCGCCGCGGCGGCTGAAAAATCGAGTGTACGCGCATATTTAAAAAGTAAAAACCAACGGTCTAAATTAAAATAAGTCCCGATTACTCTTCACAATCTTAAAGTTGAATGTTTAAACTTCAATTTATATACTTGGTAACCTCAAAAATAATAATTTACATATGTGTTTTCAAGCCTCAAAAATGCGTATTTTCGCGTTTTTCAGACTTTAAATCGCTTATAACTCGAAAACTATTAACTTTAGAGAAAAACTACTGGAGACCTTTTTTTTAGAATGACCCAAAAAATCTAAAAAAACGTTTTTCAGATTAGAAAAAAATATTTTTGGAATTTGTTTAAAAAGAATTGTTTAAACAATTTCTGCCCAAAAATTTCGTCCGGCACCCTTCAGATTTGTTTAAAGGGGACATTTTTGAACCGGAATCCGCGAAGAAACCGAATTAGAAACATTTTCCCAACGGGAGCGGCCTCACAGCCTGGACTAATGGTTAAAATCATAAATGTGTCGTTTCAAAGAACACTTAGGTTTCATCTCAAATTAATAAAAATAATAGAAGGAGAGCTGAAACCGAAAAATTATCTCACTCAGTTTTGCTCAGTTTCACTCGTGCTTTTTAATTCCAATAGAGATCTGGATCACTCTTATATATTTCTCGTCAATGTTAGCGTTGTGTAGTATTTTTATCATTGCATCATGTTTTACGGTGTCAAACGGTTTTTTGTAATCGAGGAATGTTATGACTATATCGTTTCGTTGATCCATGCAGCTTTTTACAGGTATATTCAAGCAGAAAGCTGCTTTACGTGTACCCAGTCCACTCTTGAAATCAAATTGTATCTCACCGCTTAGATTTTCCAGCTTTCTGACCATTCTTGTGTGAAGTATGCAAAGAAACACCTTAAGCAAATGATCCATTAAACTTATCAGTCTGTGGTCTTTGCATTTTGTCGCTCTTTGTGATTTAGGTATCAATATAAAGGTTGAATTAAGCCAATCCGTAGCAAGCCATTTGATTAAACCCAGCCTATGAGAAATGTTCACCCAGGTAGTACGATCGCGTGTAACAATTCATTGGAGCAAGGTGTGTTAACTCGAGTAAAAACAGGAGTCACCCCGCCGTGCTCCAATGCTCTAGACCATCCCTTTCCCCCTATAGCAATCTGATTCGCTATAGAGGCACAACAATCAGCCAAATGCTCTTCATGTGGAGGTCCTGGGTAATAGAACCCCAACATGGTTTCCTAACCGAATGCAAAAACTCAGGACAGCGCATCTCCGCTATATTCCTGTTATCTTAATATGGCTTATCCGCGAACTAAAATTGCTTACTTGGGCCTCAAGTCTCCGCTCTGAGTCCCGGCTCAGTTCGGCGACTTGCTGCTCAAGGGAGTTGGGCCCTACGTGCCCGGGTTTTGGGGTTTTTGTTAGTTTTTTTGGTGGCCGAAGCCGGTTTTTGTTAGTATTTTTTGATTTTTTGGTGGCCGAAGCCGGTTTTTTTTGTGTTTTTTGTATTTTTTTTTTGTAGGTGACCTGTGGACAAAAAATCATAATTAGTCAATAATCAATAATCATATTATAATAAGGAAAATATAAAATATTATACGATACCATAATACAGATTGTATCCTAGTTGAGCTGCTGGGCCCACTGTGAACGAGGCGATGTGCGATAATCTGGGTGATTTGAGCTACGAACTATCTTCCTTGTGTGTGTATTATGAATTTGGAGTTTCTTCTCACTCTGGGCTTTTTGTAGAGTTATGTCCATCTGGGGGGGTTTTTTGTTTCTCTCTCTGGTTTTGCTTTAATCTACTATTTGTTGTTTAGCTCTTTTGTGCTTCCATCTGTGGAAAGCGTCATACCTCATTATCTCTCGTAGAATGTGACTGGGGTGGTTCTCTAATTCTGCGAACTTTTTCCTAGCTTTTTCTTTCATAGTGTCAGTCACTCTGATTTCTTGTAATTCTCTGAAAAGGAATCTTTCAGCTACGTATCTTGGTACGTTTACCGCTTCTCTTAGGCTTTTGTTGTGTTGTGCCTGTATTTTCTTTTTGGTTGTGTTGCATATATGTCCCCATGCAAGTGACGCGTAGGTCAGTATAGGAAGGACTATACTGTTTATAAGTCTTATTTTGGTTTTTATACATACAAGTTTGCATTTCCTTCCTGCTAGGCATCTTATTGCGGCCCTTGCTATGTTGGCTTTTTGTGCCGTATCTTCTAAGTGTTTATTAAAGGTTAGTCCTGTGTCCATTATTACCCCGAGGTATTTTGCTTCGCTTTTCCACTCAATGGGATTGTCTTGCACAGTTACCTGTTCTTCCGGTCGTTCTCACCTCTTTTGAAAAAGTACAGCTTGCGTCTTATCTGAGTTAATTGCAATTTTTCACCTTAGACTCCATTCTTCAATGTCGTCTAACGCTGTCTGTAGGTTGATGACTGCTATGTCTACATTTCTGTGTTTGGCCGCTATCGCTGTGTCGTCGGCAAAGCCAATTCGTTGGAATGCGGCCGGTGTTATATATGACATTGAAAATTGTTACCAGTATGTCGATGTTATCATCTTCAACAGTTTTATGGCTTCCGTAGTTATTCCATCCGGTTCAGGGGCCCTACCTAGTTTTGCTACTTTTATAGCGTACTACACCTCGGCGCGAATAATAGGACAGCCGAATAAATTTTACGGGAGTAAGTTAGTAGTTGGCAGATTCGGTCTATTATCATTAAAGAGGAACGAAGCATAGTTTGCCCAGATTTTAGCTAGTTCTTCCTGAGTATGAACGTAGTTTCCTGGATCATTCTTCAGACGAGTCTCATGGTGTTTCTTGTATGTACTCGAAATGTATTTGACCTTTTTATGTAGTCCAAAGCTGTCTACATTTTCTTGTAGTGATTTCAATTCTTCACAACGTTCTTTTATCCAGCTTTCCTTAGCGTTTTTAATTCTTGCTCTCATCGTACATTGGATTTCCTTGTTTTCCTGTTAATTCTGATGTATTTTGTACTGTCTGCGTTGCTCCATTAGATCAAGTATCTCTTCCGTCAGCCACTCGTTTTTGTAAAGTGAGTCCTTTTATTCTACTTGCGACTACTTCATCAGCCTTGACTATAGCCATTTTTATTTTCTCATCGGTTTCCTCTATGCAATTTCCTTGTATGTTTCTCAAGTTCTCGTTGTGCTAACTCTATGTAAATCTAAGCTCTTCATCTCTCATTAATTCTCTTGTGTTTATATATTTTCTATTAGATGGCTTTTTAACCTTTGCCAATCGAAGCCTTACATTCGCGATTTGGGGTTGTGGTCAGACGAAATGTCCGCACCAGGCTAAGCGGCTACTCTGTTTATATAGTTGCGGAATCTTTTGTTTATTAAGATGTAATCAATTTGATTTCGTATTATATGACCTGGACGATCTCCTGTACTCGCCATGTATACAATCTTCTTGGTGGGATCTGATACCACGTATTGAATATGACGAAATCGTGGTCATTACAACATTCAATTAGTAACTCTCGTTACAACAAATGGGCAACAACTCTTACTCATTTTTGTTACCCAGACCTAAATCACCGACCGCATTACCACATCTACTCCTACTCCTCCTAACGAAAAAAAATAAGAACTTCGATGTCATTTAGTACAACATCAGGACTTAGAAAAGGAGACCCCTTATAACCGTTGCTATTTAATTTAGCCTTAGAATATGCAACAAAAAACTGACAGAAGGATATCCGAATCGTGAGTCAAAAATACTGTTGGCCTTTGCTGATAATCTAGATGCTGTCGCTCATTCCACAACAGACGTGAGAGAAGTGTTTTCACAACACGAGGAGGAAACAGGTAGCGTAGATCTTAAAAAAAATGAGAAGACCAAATACATGCTAGTGTCCAAAAATTCATGAGCAAGAGTTAGGCACCTCCTAACTGTTAATGAGCACAACTTTGAAGTAGTAAAAGAGTTGAAATATCTGGGGACGGTAATCATAGATAATAACCATGTAGAAAAACAGGTCTTAGCAAGGATATTTGTGGGAAATAGAGTAGTATTTCCATATAGTGGGAAATATAGTAGTATATTTGTAGTATATTCTATTATCATTATTAAGATCTAAGCTGCTAAAATGAAGATCTAAATTAAGGCTGTTACGACCCCAAGCAAACCAAAAATAGGCTCTGACTCTTCTATTTTACTATATATCTAAAAGGCCGTAGTACGTTCCAAACTTGACTTTGTACCAATTGTCGACAAATCCTCTAAAAAAAGTACATAACACAATAGATGTAATTCAAACTAATGGTCTTCGACTGTAAATAGACTGTAGCTTAATCCCATAAAAACATATATAACTTAGACATGCCACCGGAAAACAGTTTCATAACTTTTTTGACAGTAGTTTGTAAAATGTTTTAACACGTTGCCTGCCCTAGAGGATTTTGTAATACTTTCCGTTCACGCCATAGTGACCGAGCCGGCACCACACTTACATTAAAATTCTCGGTGAATAGACCTCGCTGGCGTGCAGGGCAATTTTTTCTCGATCAGATAGAAGGAGATGGCAGGCAATGTGTTAAGGCGAGTTCGAAATCTTATTTTGCAGCAAATTGCAATATTTCAACTCTTAAAATCTCCAGGTATTCAATCAAGTTACCCGGCTTTTGATATTGTATCTGTGTTAGCTTCATTTGAAAGAACTCTCAATGAAATTAACATACAGTGTGGAAACCACTCATGGAATAAAATTGTTTGTGTCCTTATTTTAAATAATTTTAAAAAATGTTGAGATACCTTAACTTTTAAATTTAAATGTACGCTTTTTGGACATAAATTTGAATGTACAGGGTGATCAATGCAAGTCTGGCATAGTGCATAATCTGTATTTTAAATAAAACACCCTGTATATTTTCATGTTTTTAAAATCTCCTTAAAAACATGATTTCAACGAACTATATCATGTAGGGTCTATTATGAATAATACAAGAAGAAATTTTGAAATTAGGAATTTTCTTCAAGACAATGAATTCATAGAATACCCGAGGTAATTAATTGGATTACATTAAAATAAATGCTCAACATGTTCTCCACCTTGTTGTTGGCAATAACACAGTCTCCTATAAAACTCGTTCCGAACTTTCTTTAAAGTTTGAGGTGAAATATTCCGTATTTCTGTAGTTATCCTTACTTTTCGAGGTCTTCAATGATAGTTGATTGTGTTGCATATACTTTGTTCTTGAGATAACCCGACAAAAAAATCCAAAGGCAATCTGGCGACCTAGCTGGCCACTCACTAGTCCTCTTCATCAAATCCACTTATTGGAGAAAATTTCATTCAAGTAACTTCTCACCATTAAAGCATAATGGGGTATTGCACCGTCCTGCTGGAACCAGAGAGTTTCATGCGGTAGGGCAATATCTACAGTTTTGTCAGTTTACCTTTCCGTTCAATCTAAATTTAGATTCATCAGAAAAAAGAATTGTGCCAAGAGCTATTTCATTTGTTAATTTTATCCATCATTCTTTTGCAAAAATCCATTCTACGATCCGGATCGTCTTCTGTTAGCTCCTGCACAAACAGTTGTGCGACTCACATTATTTTAACGTGCAATTTGACGTGAACTTGACGTTGGATTCTCTGCGACACTTAACAAAATATCCACTTTATCCATTATTTAGACACAGTACCTTGTGAAATATTAGGCAATTGAGGATACCTCTGATTAAATAAGTTTACTACTTCATCTTCTACAATTCTCCCGTAACAGATCATCATTAAAAATCTCAATTCGGTGGGCCTTAGTTAAATATTTCATTTTTATTTCTGCAAGAAATTAGTTTTTAACTAAGAATTTATTATTTTAATGTAAAATGTCAACAGCATGTCAACTGATTAATAACAATCCGCATTATTTACCGATTTAGTTTAATTACCAGACTATCTATACAGTTTTTACCTATTCACGACAGAAAATGTTAACACGGTTACTAAATAGAAATTTTCTTCAATATACAGTGTACTGATACTTAGAGTAGAAGTCTATTGTCTGTATTTAGGTAATTTAAAATAATATCATAACACGTGATAAATTATTAATTTCAAACTTTCACCTTGTATTATTTATTTTAGAGACTACATGATATAGTTCATTGAAATCAGGTTGTTAAAAGTATTTTAAAAACATAAAAATATACAGGGTGTTTCATTAAAAATAAGGATTATAGGCTATGCGAGACATGCGTGGATCACCCTGTACATTTAAACTTATGTTTAAAAAGCGCACATTTAAATTTAAAAAGTAACGTGTCCCAGAGTTTTTGATTATTTTCTATAATAAGGGCACAAACAATTTTATTCCATAAGTGGTTTCCACACTGTAGATATAAAAGAATCTGGCATACAATCTTCTCTTTTAGCTTTATCACATGACTTAATAAGAGGATCGTATTTTAAAAAGCAATAAAAAGAAATCTATGTATTTAACAAATTTGTATTAGCGTTATCTTATTAATGATTTTTTGTTTTAGAAACTAACAATATTAGCAGAACAGCATATGAAAGGCAGTTTTACTGACGCTCAAATAAAAGCTGTGCAAAAGGTTATTAGAACAATAGATTCCATAGATAAAGATATGATTGTTAGAGTATTGCGTTCCATACGCTAAGCAGACATAGATTTATATTATTTAATAAACAACTAAATGTTCTATGGGGCTTTACTACGAAATAAATAGTAAATGAAGGGAGAAACCTTTTATTTTCCTTATTCCATTGTATGTTGTAGGTATCTTAAAAAAAAAAGAAAAAGTTGAAAATTGTATATAATTTTCTGTAAAATTAATTTGAATGTATCGGTAGCATAGAACTAAATGCGTCAATTTGCTGAATGTAAAAACTTAAAAAGATGTAAGTTAAATTTACGGCCAAGGTGAGAATTTTTGTTAAAAAAAGATAAAAGACTTTGATCTTCGTAGGATCGGTACTTGCCTGAGGTCGTTCGAATATAATATTTGATTTTTTATAAAGAACGTAAAACCAACTTTACTTAGGAACAACGCAGACACATATACTACGTCATTACAAGGGTCTGATGCCAAACAGAAAATTTGACCAGAACACTTGCTGTTCCTTCATGGTCCTTCGAGCCGGATATTCTGGTTGAATTTACTATTGGACGTCTAATCGTTGTGACGGTCTGTCAAATTGAATTACAAAATTTTAATGGTTGTAGTTTGCTGATTCTTTATTTTGTCTCTTTGTGGGGAAAAATTATACAGTGTTCTTCACTAATTTATTAAACAATACACAAAATACTTGGTAACTTAAATACTTTGCTCTTATACTAAACAGGTGAGCGAGAGAGAGAAAGAGAGAGAGAGAAAGAGAAAGAGAGAGAGGAAGAGGGAGAGGGAGGAAGAGGGAGAGAGAGAGGAATAGAAAGAACTAATCTAAAGTTTTTATGTACTATAGAAATTAGTGAGAATAACTTTCTTCTTCGATTTCTGTGATGAGACGGTTAGAGCAAGGTTATAAACGAGGTTTGCTACAAAGTTATAAACAATAGGATGATAATCTTTAAATTATTAGATTTATCTATCCGAGCTCTTTCCCCAAAATTTGTATATCTTATTAGATATTTATAAGATATTTATAACATATGCTAAAATAATATAAACGATTTGTATTTCGTGTGAAAAATGCCCATAAAATTGGATTGAACAAAATTAAGTTTCAAGGGTCAAAATGCTTTACGTAAAAAGTTTATTAATTTTTTGGCTACCAATGAAGCCATTTTCTTCATTTATTTTTAATCCGATGTAACATCAATAGACACATAAAAACGCATTACCAAATCCCAAGGATGCTTTAATTTTGTTATGACTTCTTCTTCTTAACGTGCCCTACAAGTCTCCTTGACGTTGGCGATTAAAATGGCGAAACTGTCTCTGTCTCGAGCTATTCTAAAGAGTTGCTCAGCTTTCTTTATTCTTGTCCACTCTCTGATATTCTTCAACCAAGAGGCCTGCTTTCTACCAATTCCTCTGCGTCCTTCGATTTTACCCATCATAATAAGTTGAAGAATATTATATCGGTCCCCCCCTTACTACGTGTCCAAAATAGGCGATCTTTCTACATTTGATGTTATCAAGCAGCTCGCGAGCAGCTTCCTCTCTCAAGGACTGCCACATTTGTCAGCATAGCCGTCCATGGAATTTTTAGTATACGTCTGTGCAGTCACATTTCAAAGGCTTCCAGACGAATATTGGTGGATATTTTTAATGTCCATGCTTCGACACCGTATAAGGGGACTGACCAAATGTAGCATTTAACCATACGCTTTCGAAGTTGATTGTTGTTATGACTAAAATAATTTATTTCTACTTTATTTGTCAGAAACGAAAATGCCACTGAACTTTCAAAAATCATACGAACAAGATGAATTTAGCTGAAAATGTTAATTTTGGGTCCCCAAAAATATCTCTCCCCGGCTTCCCCCCAAAACTACTAACCTCGTAAAGGGGAAAAATCAATTTACCAAGAATCGGTACGTGGTAGAAAAAACTATTTCAAATAAAAAATGTAGCTGAGATAATTTTGAACTAAAAGGAACAAAATTTTAACCAAAAGGAACACGGAAAAGATAACAGATAATGTAGTTACCGGCCCTCGTAGATTTCTAACTTATATACAAACATCTAAAAATGTTGTCCTTAGCTTGGGAGACAAAAATAAATTTTGAGATATATTTACAATATAATAATTTGTAAAGTTGACCCGATATATTCTCTGAAGTTATGCTTTATTTATAATAAATGGATGGTGTATAATATTTATTACTTCATGAATTTATATAAAGCAAGATTATAATATTTTTTCGTTGGTGATATTGGATATTTTATATTCATTTGTGATATTCTAATAGGTTCATAGACTTTAACAACAGTAATACCCTGCAGGGATATTTCACAGGAATTCAAACTTTGACAATAACATAGACAACTTTTTTATTCTTATGCATTCATTTAAGAAAATTTATAACAAATTGCTAGAGACCATTTAAGAATAGATTTGTGGAAATACGCGGATATTTAAGGTTTTAGTAAATATTACCACAGTGACTGAAATATTATATACATCTCTATATAGAGCTTTTCCTTTTTGCACAGCGCAGCATTATTCTCTACCAGAATCCAGTCTGTCTTTTCTCGCTTTGACTAAATTTTGGGATGGAATTGCTTCTTTTGTAAGTAATCTAAAAGAATTTTTAGGAGAATATTACGTTTATATAAAGTAGTGACGCCAAATAAGACCAGTGACTTAATAAGGCCAATTGTAAATATTTCCTTAAATATAGATATTATACTATATGTCACTGTAAATTGCTTTCCAAGCCAAAATGCGCGAAGTATTAGTACGGAGCAGAAGTTGGGTTATAAATTTTAGGTAAGTTATAAAATCACTATAAATGTACCAAATATTATTTTTTTGTAAAGCAATAGAAAATTAATACTCTTTTAGGAACTGGTACTGTTTTTCCGCTTTATTGCTTTTTATTATTGTTCTTTTGGGTTCTCTTTGACTGAAGAGGCCATTGAAGCTGTAATGAATGCCGTACGAAATGGCATAGCTGTACATAAAGCAGCACTTACATTAAATATTTCTCGGCGTACGTTAGGTAACCATCTAGCTAGTGGTAATTTATAAAAATGACTTGGGCCACCTCCAGTACTTACAAAACCTCAGGAAGATGTATTATTCTCTTTCTGTGTACCCTCTTGATATAATTCAATAAAAAATGCCTGGAAGAGAAACACAAAAATATAAATTTAAATTATATAAAAAATATATAAAAGAAATAAAAAGCAAATAGTTCTTTAACAAAATTATATTTAGGTATATTTGTTAAAGTAAATGTACTCTAACAAATTTTATTGAACAGTTAAATGGCATGATTATTGCGCAACTTATTATTAATTACAAACAAAAAATATCTCTTTGAAAAATAGTTATAAATAATTTAGTATCCTCAAGAATAAGAACAATATAATTATTTCTACGGCAAGGAACATTATAATTATATCTACGTCAATATTTGGCAAGCAAGGGAATTTTACGCTTTGAGGATACCTAAACATGAAGTTAATAGGTTTTTGATCGTGATCACTTCAAATCTAAGAATAGAATTTATCAGAAATATAATCTACATATAAAATAAATTGTACGTTATTTATGCGTATATATTATCCTGTATTTTTATACTCAGTCAAACTAAACCTCCATAAATAAGAAGGTACACTGAACTGGAGTCATAAATCAACTTCTAAAGATTTCGTTATCACAGTTTAGTCAATAAAACTTATACTCACGAAACAGGTGTATTCAGATAATGGTATTACGCCCTCAATAAGGCACTTGACTTCGGTCCGTACAACAGATAGTTGGGATGACACGCCCACAATAAATTGCGGTCTTCCTAACGTAATCCCTTAGATTGTCTTAGGCCGACGAAAAGAGGCAGCTAGACCGGAGTAGTACAGGTAGTTGAGATAAAATGAAGATGACTGATGATCGAGGTGAACGTGTTCTCGGACGCGACTAGTTCACGTTCGAGACGCATTGACCCGCCCCTTATTTTCCCGTTGGCCCCTCCCTGACCTGGAAATCCCTAATCGCTACTTCAGAAAGTATAAAAATAGGCGATTTTCAGGTCAGTCCCTCACGGGCTCTCCGAGAGCTTAGTGCTCTCGGGGCTCTGCTCTTGTTTTTAGCTTTATCCATACTCTGTGGCTGAGATGTTATTCTACTGCAACCTGGTATTTTTATTTCGACTTAACCTTTGTCATGTAAGAAATAGCTTGCCTTTTTCAAGGCAAGATACCAGAAGAAAACATTTACGAGTCCATACCCTGAAAATGGACTTAAGTAGAGGAGCTATCGTTGATGTTTTCGAAGCCCTCTACAGAGCACCCGGAGGCATTAGAAGGCGTTTAAACCCTTTTCATTTCCCCCGCGGTGACAAACGAACGTAGCGGTGAATGTGTGAATAGTGTACACGTATGATCGGTGTAAACTATGAATGGTGTAAACTATGAACGGTGTAGAATATGAACGGTGTAGAATATGAAACGGTGTAAAATCTGAACGGCAAAGAGAAGTGACTTCAATTGGCAGACGTCTGTTTGACAAAAGAGAAAATAATTAATATAAGACACACTGTGTAAAGATAAATAAGGGCGAATTGAAAATCCACTTACCGCCGATTGTCGAAGATAAGACCGCTTACCACAAGAACTAACTTGGAAATGAACATTGGATTGTGAACTTAGAAGCGCTTAGACAAGCGAAGGGAGGACTTGCAAATAGGGAGGGTATATTGGCTGAAGGATGCCACGCGAAATTGACATTAAATAGCCGGGCTACTGGGGTTCATTTTCATAGCTTTTACCAATGGAAAGTAAACTTTCTACGAAAAACAACTCTTCTGTTTTTCTGAGAAGGTAGCTCGGACATTTCACAATAAGGCCTTTTTCCTTTATTATTAGGAAAGATTTTTATGTATCAAAACCAAATAAAAAGAAGAAGGAGCATTTGGCGAAGTTATTTCTTTATTAAAAAAAAGGCGTAACGAATCGCTTGGTAGTGTCGGTTATTTAAGGAAGATATG